CTATTGCTTGCTGTATAGGAGTCAGAATGTCTTCTAAAACACAAGTGAACTTGGCCAAGAAGTTTAACTTAAGCTTCAGGTATATCCATGATCTGATATTGTTCATTGCTGATGAAATAGCCAAGTCCGTTCCACTTATTTACCAACCTGAACTAGAAATAGAAGAGACCTCCTTATCTGTCACATATTTCATCTGCATAAAGTTTCAGCGGGACAATAGACAAGCCATAAGACTGTTTGACAAGAGTGATGACTTCAACTTTCCAATAGTCAACGTTATCTTTATGAAATCTTCCATCAGGTCCAGCCTTGGGTTTCTACATTTCACAAATTCTAGGTAAATCAAGTATGCTCTTTCTTCGTCATTAACTCTTGCTCAAAAGTTGTTTGATCAGGGCTACAAAATTCATGCCTTAGTCATTCAGTTTTATGGCAGACACGTGGAGGACATATCCAAATTTAAACGCATCGGTGACAATGGGTGTGCCTGAGGCAATTCCCTATTTTGACATGTTTCAAATGTTGTTGTTTTTAAATGAACAATTGACTTAATTGTTTTTGCGTGTGTGTCGGTGTGACCTGTGGGGCAGGATACACCCTTTGTGCGAACACCTGGTGTCATCACTATTTAATAGTGATGCCAAAACATATATACGGTAAACAACGGTTATAACGAACACGCTTATAACGAACTTACGGATATAACGAACTTACTTTTTTGGTCCCGACTATTTGCTGTTGTTATGCTGTATATATGCTTATAACGAACTACGGTTATAACGAACTAAAATTAGTAGTCCCTTTGAGTTCGTTATAACCGTACTGGGGGCACGGGTGGCCCAGTCGTCTAAGGCGCCGCGATTCGCTGTGCAGAGTTGCGTCCCTTGGGCACGCCAGAAACCTATGATTGTGGGTTCGAATCCCGGTTCGCCCCAATTATGTTTCTAGGTTTGTCAGCACCATACCCGTGCTCGTGGGTTTCACCGAAGTGGTAAACGTCTGAGACCTGCATCACTTCGGGCTTTCCTCCCACATTAAGCTGACACGCCGTGATATAACTGGAATACTGTTAAAAGCGGCGTTAACCCCAACTCACTCACTATAACCGTACTTTACTGTAGTGATATAGTCGGAAGCGCACAATGAACTTATAATAACAGTAAGTGTTGTATGGGTTATTAACCCTTCCCCAAAATGCCAACTTACACGAAACCTGGATACATCTTAAACAAAATAACAATTTGCTCCCAACAATTGCCAATAGTGGGAAGCTAATGCTTTGCATGCATACATTTTAATGGTTTGTTTTCATTCCATGGAAAAGAACACAACAGAGCAATAGTAACGCTGAAAACGAACGAAAAGCCGTTTTGGAACTGCTAGCCACCTGACCATTGTGCATAGTCCTGCACCATGACCGTGGAATATATTTATTTTATGAAAAAAAACATAATCTAGAAATGCATACAAAAGCAAGTCTAGCCAGCTCAAGCTAGCTCTATTTTTATTTTTAGAGTCAAGAAGGATATTGTGTAATATAAGATTTCAGAGACTAAATGTTAGTCTAATAATCATGAGACAGGCCCAACAGCCGGAAAACAGTTACTTCGCCAGACAGTCGCCACATTATAACGGCTCAACAGATGCGAATGAATCCCATTAAACCAATTTTTGTTCCATGCATATAAATCTATACAACACGATTCAGTGAGTGAATGAGGTTTTACGCCGGAGTTGCGTCCCTTGGGCACGCCAGAAACCTATGATTGTGGGTTCGAATCCCGGTTCGCCCCAATTATGTTTCTAGGTTTGTCAGCACCATACCCGTGCTCGTGGGTTTCACCGAAGTGGTAAACGTCTGAGACCTGCATCACTTCGGGCTTTCCTCCCACATTAAGCTGACACGCCGTGATATAACTGGAATACTGTTAAAAGCGGCGTTAACCCCAACTCACTCACTATAACCGTACTTTACTGTAGTGATATAGTCGGAAGCGCACAATGAACTTATAATAACAGTAAGTGTTGTATGGGTTATTAACCCTTCCCCAAAATGCCAACTTACACGAAACCTGGATACATCTTAAACAAAATAACAATTTGCTCCCAACAATTGCCAATAGTGGGAAGCTAATGCTTTGCATGCATACATTTTAATGGTTTGTTTTCATTCCATGGAAAAGAACACAACAGAGCAATAGTAACGCTGAAAACGAACGAAAAGCCGTTTTGGAACTGCTAGCCACCTGACCATTGTGCATAGTCCTGCACCATGACCGTGGAATATATTTATTTTATGAAAAAAAACATAATCTAGAAATGCATACAAAAGCAAGTCTAGCCAGCTCAAGCTAGCTCTATTTTTATTTTTAGAGTCAAGAAGGATATTGTGTAATATAAGATGTCAATGACACGGATTCTTTGTATTGCCCAGGTCTCACAAATACAATCAGTACAACTGACATAGGCATGCTACAGGAAATCAGCATAGGGAATTTTATTTTTATTTTTAGTCAAGAAGGATATTGTGTAATATAAGATTTCAGAGACTAAATGTTAGTCTACATTGTGCAGTGTGGCCGGGGTTACGTTTGGCCGGGTGGTGTCCATATTGTTTAGTAGGAGCGAGTTATTAATTAAAGGATGCAGCGGAGACTCGTTAGTACGCGGACAGTGGCGTTTCACGTGAAGTGGTGCTGTTTCCGGATTATCGAGGTCCGGACTCGAAGGTTTTCACTGTGTTAAACTCTTTCCATTTCGAAAGGAAATTGTTGTACCTGAGTATTTACAGAGAAAAAGGATTTCATGATGGTCAACACTCGATATGAAATGAAAACGAGTTTAAAAAAAAAAATCCTATTTATTAAGATAGATGTTATTTAATTGAGTATCAATAAAATAACGCCATGTCTATGTGTGATAATTTATGTTTTTTTCGCTCTCACTCTTTGTCGGGAAATACTTTAACAAAGAGTATACGACAGACACATACGTACGTATTTAAGCCCAGGGCCAATAAACGGGTTTTATTAACGTTTGGAGCCTAATATATCATCGACAATGTACTCGAAATTGATTTCTTAGTTAAACTCATGGTCTTAAAAAAGAGATACCACCAAACAGTAGGGCTGGGGCTGGAGTCCAAATTAACTACCCGAGTACCCACCCCACTATTACCCGACCCTACCCGGGTACCCGCTGTAGGTCTCAAGAGATAGATACAAATGTCCGGTTGAGAATAGTTTGACCGTAGCCCTGGAAAAATGTATTTAGATAATCATAGAAAACGATCTGGTCATACGTACATTGAAGTTGACGAAGTTTTATCTCTATTCAAGCATATAAAGAAGGAATGGGTACATGGTCAGAATGAAGTGCGGACATTAGTCACTTATAGTGCGTAACCGTGGAAGTTCTATAGATACATTTTGCCATTACACAATATATCACGTGACTAGCCACGGGTCCGGGTAGTCCTGTTGGTATCCGGGTCCTACTCAGGAAGGAACCACTTACCCGAGTACCCCCTCCCAGCCCTACTAAACGGCTATATATATTGACAAATGCGTGCATACTAAAATGATTACGTCTGGTGAATAAGAGTTTTTGAGCGTTATGTTAAATTAAAACCGGCGAATGGCCCTAGTTTACAGACATTTAAACAGAAAGTTCTTTGTTGCAAAGGTGGTATGTTTGTTTGTTTGTTGTTTGTTGTTTTTAAAAAGCCCCTTTCGGCAGTATTCCAACTATATGACGGTGGTCTGTAGTCGAGTATGGACCGGGGACAATCCCACCCGATCCCGTTATAGTCGCCTCTTACGACAAAGTCGCCTTTTACGGCAAGCATGGCCGGGTTGCTGAAGACCCATTCTATCCCGGTTCTTCAGGGGACTTCAAAGGGTGGTAGTAAAGTTGGGTTACATTAGTGCTATCAAATATTTAGGCCTCTGAAGAAGCGGTTCGGTAGATTGTACATGTGTATATGGATCTATGTGTGGGAAAGGGTATAAGGTAGGATAGGGTGGGATCGGTGAGTTGAGTGAATGATTGAGGATGGTTTTACGCCGCTTTTAACAATATTACAGGAATATCACGGCGGGGGACACCAGAAATGGGCTTCACACATTGTACCCATGTCGGGAATCGAACCCGGGTCTTCGGCGTGACGAGCGAACGCTTTATAACCACTAGGCTACCCCACCGCCTCCGGTGAGTTGAGATGAGAAGGGAGAAGTGCCTGTGTGGTTGTTAGCGGGAATATCTGGTCTACTGATTTCAATCAAGAAACTTTCCCAAATGGAAAATAGACAAAATACAACATAACCCCTCCAAAATTATAACTATAGATCTGTCCCTTAGCCTATAGTTGTATTAGTAGAACGTATTGTGCATGTATATTGTGGGCGCTTATTTTAGTAAACGACTCACCTGAAGTTACGTCAGTTTCAAAAATAATTCGTTAAAACAACAACATATAACCTATTTGTATTTTTAACTATGATGGTGTCCACGAACGCGGTGACATTGATAGCCAGGCTTGCTTACACAGAAAATAGAAGAAATAGATCTATTTCTTTTCGAAAATACAAAGAAAATAGAATCTAGGACTTTTTCATTAATAACACATGGTAGAATCTATAACGGTTGGATTGTTAAACGCGAAAAAGGAGACTCTACGCTAGATATTTCGTCACGCTGTATTTTTAGACAAGTAATTTCCGAGGCCTCATGGAACATTGCATTACGCATTGTCGCGTTATCGCCATATTTACTCAAATTGAGCAACATCCACACAGATATCTATGCAAAATAGTTCCTATATCCGTCATCGATTTACCAGTATCCCAGACATTAACATCCCGTTTTCTTACAACTGACAGAAATAACATTGTATGCTCGACATGTTGCCTTCCTCATAAACGCCAATCGTTTGCATGATTGGGTGCTATCAATCCTTAGTGTATTCCTACGCCTTGCAAGGTATATAAATAACACGTCCGCCATTTGCAACAGTCTCTGACGCATGGCGACGGGATAGCATTGTACGGCTGTACTGACCCTATCTTCATTTTCCATCATTAATGCATTATTATTTTTCTGATTGATCACCTAAAGCCGTCAAGATTACGGCCGTAAGAGAAGAAGCAAACGGTCGTGAAGCTTCTGTGCAGGTGAGAAGTATTTCCGAATTATTTGTTCTTCATTCAAAGCCATCACGTTAAGACATGTGACAACCATGCCTGTTCGTAGTTACCTCGATAACAGCTGACTAACCCAGACTAAGCTAGACTAAGCCAGACTCTCCTACCAAAAGTGTCAATCGGACTACTCCTGATGAGTTTACAATGTAATAAACGTTAGACTCACGATGTTGGCATAGAAAATTATCATGGTAATTGAACAGGGTTATTTTGGCAGAAAGAATCCTGCCTTACCCATTTTTATAAGGTTACTCACTTATATTTGATGGGGGAGGGGACGGTGGTACGGATGGTAGTGTTACCTCATCGTTCATTCACACCCACCACATATCGTGCCGTCACGTTTTTGCCAAATCCCCGTTTATCATATGGGTATCTGGTTTCCGACCGAAAGTGCAGTCCTAACATTTAGTGCTTCTAATCTTGTGTGTGCGAGAGAATTAATAGATTTACAAGACACAATGAATCTGATTAGGGAGTAATGTTGGGTAGATTGAAAACCACACTGGAAAGAGTATTTTTTTTGCTAACTTTTCTGAAGAATTGTAAATGGTTACGTAATACGAGGGCATGGACAAGTCCAAATTTACTACCTGGGTACCCACCCCTATTACCGACCCTACCCGGGTACCCGCTGTAAGTCTCAAGAGATAGGTAGAAAATGTCTGATTCCAGCATGTTTGTCCGTACTCCTGTGAAAATGTATTTTGATACATGTATAACCAATCTGGTCAACACTGCAGTTGACTGAGGTTTTATTGTTATGCAAACATATAAAGTCAGAAGGAATGTGTGCATAGTCACTAAGTCAGAAAGACATGTGAACATTTGTCAGTTATAGTGTAACCAACAAAAACTAACCATCGAGTTCTAGTTTAAGATATGAGGATGAACAGCTACTTTAATATAATTAGGAGCGATGTTTCAGTGTAGGTTCGAACACTATTATCATCACTAGCTTATAAACCTCTAGTGACGTCACTCTATTGTCTCGCCAGGGTCTTCTTTTACCGACTAAACCTCTACTGGTAGTTTACCGGGCATTCCCAGGGTAAGCCCCGGGCTTTCTGCAAGAAATCCCGGGAGATTTTCTACTGAAAGCCTGGTTTTAGTCCCGAAAAATACCCTCTGTATTGAATTACCTTTCTGCATGAAAAAAACAACAACAGAACATGGCTCAACTATTTATTGATATTAGATGAAATTGAAATTGAGCGTCACAGTTCGATTTAGTTTGTCTTCAGGTCATTGGTCATCTGCTCTTTTTGGATCAGCTTCTTCACGTGATGGCGAGTTCATTTTTTTCAAAATACTAAGTATGTCGGAGACCGTTGCCTTTTGGTTGTCAGAAGTTCTCTTGTAATTTCGAACGGCGTCGCTCAGATGTCCTGAAACAAATTGTTCAGATTACTGAAAGTATTACACATACAGCATACAAATACACTTAAAAACTATTACAGATTCCAAAAACACCAATATTACCATATATATCATAAATAAAAAAGAGCATCTTACTGGTTTGGAAAAAATATTTCTTTGATATGTTATGACTTTTGCTGAATAACAATTTCTTATTACTGCAGGACTAAAATGTTTATCAACCTACCGGTAATTTCGCAAATCATTTGTTCATCAACGTCACCTTGTTACAATCGAGTGGCTGCCGTGGCTCTCAAGGAATGGTTTATCTTCATGCCCTCAATACCGGACGTCTTGCACAGTCTTTTGACGGTAACTTGTAAGGTTATTTCACGCTCGGAGAGTGGATCTCCTAAACGGAATTTAAAGTCATCACTTTCCTTGTCTTCTTCAGCACAGGATGCCGATTCTTTAAAAACTGACTGCGTCAGAAATATATCGTTGTCTGCGTCCATCCTCTTCTGTGGAATTCATTCGACTGGCTTGAACCACGTGCACTCATTGTTACAACAGGCCTGAAGCACGTGCGTCACGTGCAGCCCGCGGATGTACTCCCCGCGTATTGCAGTTAAACTCTCAACAGTAAATATCAATGAAGTCATGTTAATACCAATTAGTAAAATTATTTCTAATTCATATTATTTGATCAGTTCATAAGTGAGATCAAAAACTTGCCCTCGGTTTTGTTTGGGAAGTATGCCCTTGGCCTCCGGAAAGGGGTCGGGCCTATCGGCCCTCCCCCCTTTCCCTCCTCCGCAGGCATACTTCCCAAACAAAACCTCGGGCGCGGTTTTGATCCTACACTTATAACTTATCCTTAGTTAGTACTCCAACTTCTAAATGCCTCTCAAAGAAGACAGAGTTCTAGAGAATATTTGCCATTAAACAATAAGCACGTGACTAACCATGGTCGTTGGCGATACACCATGTTCAGCGATGAGTCTCGTTTCAATATGGACAATGCAGATGGCCGGAGACGACGTAATGAACGATACCAAGCATGCACTGTCAAACAGCATGACAGATACGGAGGTGGATCAGTGATGGTCTGGGGTGGAATCACCTACGACAACCGAACAGATTTGATTCGTGTGGATGGTCGTCTAACTGGTGTTCGTTACCGTGACGAAGTGTTACGCCCAGTGGTGCTTCCGTTCGCTAACAGAGTTGGGCGGTTGTTCGAGTTTCAGCAGGACCATGCAAGGCCACATACTGCTCGTGTTTCAGCCGATTTATTTAGGCAGAACCAGGTCGCTGTGCTTCCATGGACGGCTAAAAGTCCAGACGTTAACCCGATAGAACATTTATGGGATGTTCTTGGTCGTCGGGTGCGAGATAGCATTAATCAACCTCGTAATCTGGGCGAGAGGTTTGACTGTTTAAGACAAGAGTTGCATAATGTTCCAAGGGCTACAATCCAGGCATTAATTCGGAGTATGCAAAGAAGTTGTCAGGCTGTTGTGAGAGCTCGTGGTGGTCACACGTCATACTGAAGAACTGAGATTAAGTCATTATTTACCATGTAGCTTTCATTTGATCAAGTGTTGTATTAAAATCTTATGTCTGCGCCATCTATGCGATCCTTTATTTTATTCCATCAGTGTACAATGAGGCATTTTAACATTGTGCTGTATGGGCGTACCGCGGGATTATTTGAAATTTTCACATGAAGGGCCCGTGTCAGAAAATTCCTTGATTGCACCCTGATCCACTGTACCTAAAAATGTCAATAAAAAACTTACTCGATGGTTTCTTCAATCGTCAAAAGTTGTCAATCGAAACACTGCATGCCATCCCTTACTGTGCATAACTGGTTCCTATATCACTGCATGGAGCTTTGCACTACATTTGTTTATACCCAAGACTCAACTCGTATTTGTCAAGTCATTAACTATATTTTTTGTCACTTAAATCCTAGCAGAAATCAAAGATGTACATGTATGTGCATCCGTGCAGAAATCAAGAGAAAATGCAATCACGGGTAAAGTTTCAAAACACAAGCTGGGGGCACGGGTGGCCCAGTCGTCTAAGGTGCCGCGATTCGCTGTGCAGAGTTGTGTCCCTTGGGCACGCCAGAAACCTATGATTGTGGGTTCGAATCCCGGTTCGCCCCGATTATGTTTCTAGGTTTGTCAGCACCATACCTGTGCTCGTGGGTTTCACCGAAATGGTAAACGTCTGAGACCTGCATCACTTCGGGCTTTCCTCCCACATTAAGCTGACACGCCGTGATATAACTGGAATAATGTTAAAAGCGGCGTTAAACCCAACTCACTCACTCAAAACACAAGCTAATTTCGATTTTGGAATGACAACACCAAACCTTAATGAATATACATACAACGTTCTCAATAAGAATATACAAATTTATAGATCACAAACGATCATATTTAAGATGAGATTCCCCTAGACTTTAGATAAGACAGCACTGGTTTTTAATGAACGGTGCCCTCTTGCAAGAATGGCCAATGTGCATGAATTACGAATTTTGATCTATTTCTAGTGGCCAAACAGCAAGTTGGAGATCTTCTTAGAATATGCTACTGTATGTTTGCCCTCCAGATTTGTCCGTATTTATTGAAAACTGACTTAATCATTCAAATGTAACTCATAAACATTGTGAAAGTCAACAATCTTTTCAACTTCCTGTTACACGTAAACATTTTCTTGATGCTGCACATGGCAAACATGCCACCTTGTGCAGAAAATAAATGACTTAATTGTTGCTAATTAAAGAAAAGGGTGAACCTGGAGCAATAGTCATCTTAATTTGAACTGTAACTTCTAATTAAAAAAATGTCCATATTGAGAAGATTTCAATTGATATGGCCGGATACTCGGTCTTTCATACAGTACGCACTACTGACAGTGAAATTGATGAAAGCGCTGGAATGTAAATTACATATTTTTGGCCAACAAACACCATTTACAACATTTGCTATTCCATGTCATGGCTTTGAATATATTAAATTACAATCTCAACATTGTCGAAGACCTAGAAATTGTTTGTTCCCCAAATCCATGAAATGAACAGCTGATGGTGGTAAACAGGCCTTATCTATAATTGTACCCACAAATAATTCCTCCTAAAGTCGATAATGAACTGAAATACATAAATATAAATGTATTTTCTCGTAAACATGGTAAAGTAGACAATGAACAGAAATATAAATACTTATGCAATTTTTGTTGTTGATACTAATGCTAATATTTTTGATATTCACAATGGAATAATTAATGTTAATAAAATGGAGGATGTATCTATATAATCTAGTAACATTAATTGTAACATAATTCGAGTCACAAATACTGAATATCAAATACAGTTTCCACTGTGGGAAGACAAAAAAAACTCTGAAAATTTGCAAAACCTCATCACATGCAAAAAAATCTCATTGCTTTTAGACTAGGGGGATTTTCTCTCATAGGTAAAAAATTCAAGGATAATCCTTGTGACTTGCAGAGTTGTGTCCCGTTGGCACGCCATATACCTGTAATTGTTGGCATGAATCTGGTTTGCCCCAACGTTTCTAGGTTTGTGAGCGCCATACCCATGCTCTTGGGTTTTTGCCAAAGTGGTCAATTTCTGGGACTGGCGTCAATTCAGTCTTTCTTGGTACATTAAGCTGACATGCTGTGATATAACTGGAATAGTGTTAAAGGCAGTGTTAAACCCATCCACTCAATCATGCTAACCTCAAATATTATTTTTCACCTTGCAGGGAGGCTTGACTGTCTTCTACACAGAAAGCCCAGAGGGCTTCTGCCGTTCCAAGAAAAAATTTAACTTCAACGCAGAGCCACCCTGGGATCCCAGCTAGTATTTGCTAAAAGCAGGTGTTCCCTCTGGCCAGGTGAGATTCAGAGCTATGCACAGTAGTGATCGGTCAGGATGGACTCAAGCGTGTGATCCGTGAAGATCCGGGATAGAATAGCTCTTGAGCAACCCATGCTTGCCGTAAAAAGCGACTCTGCTTGTCATAAGAGGCGACTAACAGGATTGGGTTGTCAGGCTTGCTGACTTGGTTGATGCATGTCATCATATCTCAATTGCATGGATTGATGCTCATGATCTCAATTGCATGGATTGATGCTCATGGTGTCAATCACTGGATTGTCTGGTCCAGTCTCGATTATTTACAGATCGCCATCATATAGCTGGAATATTGCTGAGTGCGGCATTAAACAACAAACAAACAAAACAAGGGTGCACAGTTGGTACATTCAAACATATTTGGTAGAGGATGTACAATACATTCCATCTCAAGAAAGTTAAGATCATGTGGTTTGTATCCCAGCATGGCTATAATGTACAACATTCCTTGTCCCTTATTGTGAAGGGGCTGGAGTATGGCAAACTCAACTTACTCTCACTGAAATATGAGCTCATGGCCACTTCAGTATGAGCAGCTTGACAACCAATGACTACTTGCTTTTTGGCAATAATTCTGTTCCAATGTTTTTTTATTATCCCCCGCCACGAAGTGGAAGGGGGGATATAGCTCTCAGGATATATATATAGTCCGTCACATTTCGTTTCCGGAGAAGAACACAAAAACCATGAGAGATATCTTAACCAAACATTGCACATAGATAGGTCTCCCTAAGAACTCCCTTACTTCCCTGATTATTGTTTAAGTAATAACACAACTTGTTACAAATACAACAGTGTAACTGCATCTTAAACCTACTCAACTGTATAAACACTGCCTCCTATCCTGTATATATTCTTGTCAACCATACTCTGTACTTTACTTGCTTGATAACGGTGTTAGAACCTAGTTGTAATAAAGAAGTTATCATAAACTGCAGATGGCAAAACAACACCAGTAATAACCTTTTTTAGTGCTGCAATTAGGCCATTTACACAAAGGTCCAGTGAACATAGTTCACAGGAGCTAATGCATTGCACACAACCGGACATGTCATATTGGCGGGGGATATGAGTATTTCATGCTTGTTTACGTGGGAAGGAGTTCAACAAAGAATATATGCTAGAAAAACATATGAAGAAAAGTTTTCTTGAGGAATGGATCAATGAAAAAATTATTTGGAAATCAAGAGATCCTTGCTTCATTTAACATGATTAGGTAACATGATAATAAAATTACTTTTTAACACTTCTGTTTTAGATTGTTTGTATACCCTCGAACTCAGACTATCTTTGCGGACTTTTGAGCTAGAAAATGAAACATTACATTGGAAACGGTTGTGCTGTGGAGTCGCTGTCCTATGAGAAGACTAAGGCTTGCTTGGTCGCAGAGAAGGCTGCACTTCTAAAGAACGAGGTAGGCATTGCCTGTACCTGGAATTAGACTGGATATTTAATAGTTGGAGATTAGTTTGTGCCTTACAAAAACTGATCTTATTCTGATTACCTTGATGGGCACCGGTGGCCCAGCCCTCTAAGGCTCCGTGATTCGCTGTGCAGAGTTGCGTCCCTTGGGCACGCCTGGGCCCACTTGCACAAAGCGATCTTAGCGCTAACATGATCGTAACTCCCATACCTTACCATAGGCTTACAATAGTCATAGTGCTAAGATGGCTTGATGCAAGTGGGCCCAGGAACCTATGATTGTGGGTTCGAATCCCGGTTCCCCCTGATGATGTTTCTAGGTTTGTCAGCATCATACCGTGCACATGGGTTTCACTTTGGGCTTTCCTCCCACATTAAGCTGACACACCGTGATATAATTGTAATACTGTTAAAAGCGGCGTTAAACCCAACTCACTCACACACTGATTACCTTGACTGCACCTAATTGGAGATGTTGTGACTAGTTGCTGTTAATATTATTCACAGTTGATGCTGTTGGTGGGAAAACAAGTAGCACACTTTAGAATAGTTACCAAGAAAGGACTCCAAATAATAGTTCCCAACAGCTGCTTGGTTGCAGGGTTGTAGATTTACTAAAAACATACCTGACCTATTTTGTAAATAAATGTAACTGAAGCCATATTTTTAGTCTTAGTTTGATCAGGTAGAGGTTTACATTTTTATTTGCCTCGGGGATTATTTACCTAAAGGTTAACATGGGCATCCTCTGTTTTCAGGGATAAGAATTATCCAGACTTTGTTACGTCAAGGGTAATGTTTGTGATACATGCCATTGCAATGTACACATTAATCATACAGTCACCCAGACTCCTGGTGAATGCATTCTCATGTGAATCAGGGCTTTATCTTGACCTACAAAATGAGGGGTGTCCAATAATTAATTAGATGGGTCTTAACAGGAAATATTGGGTTCCTGTAATCATGAAAATGTAATTGTAATGTTGACTGCTCATTTTCAAATAGAATGGGGCATTTTAACATTGTGCTGTATGGGCGTACCTCCTGAATATTTGAAGTTTTCACATAAAGGACCCATGTCAGAAAATTTCCATGAGTGAAACTTGGTAATGTCTGTGTATCATGTGTATGACTATTAAATATAACTATGAACTGCCACAATGTTGCAAAACAACCATAATCATGTTGTCAATATTGAAAGAAATAAACCTTTTCCTATTTTATCACAAGAGTGACCCCCCTTGATTTTTTTTTCCTATTTCTTTTCGAATATATATTTTTTTCCGTTTCCATGACATTTACTTTGACTCTGTTCATTTTGGTGTCTACCTGACCTAGAAATACAAAGTTCCAAATCCCAATTCCATGATATTGTTTTCATAGTTCTATAACTACTCTTGTATATGGACAGACAGATTAGATGGAAATTCTTTCATCAAAAGTAACAGTCAGATGATTTATTCTTTCGAATTTGTGGGGGCATTTGTCATCTTCTGATGAGACATTCTTCTGTATCAAATTTGAAAAAATCTTGGGAATAGTATACATACCTGGTGTCTCCTTCTGTGATATTACTGGAATATGAAAGTAGCCACAAAAGCATACTCACTGAGAACAGTTTGGATGACAATAAGTTCATGTCCTGGAGGGGCGGTCGGGTAGCCTAGTGGTTAAAGCGTTCGCTTGTCACGCCGAAGACCCGGGTTCGATTCCCGACATGGGTACAATGTGTGAAGCCCATTTCTGGTGTCCCCCACCGTGATATTGCTGGAATATTGCTAAAAACGGCGTAAAACCATCCTCACTCACTCACTCATGTCCTAGAAAGTGAACTGATCTAAAACCCAGCTTGTGGTTGAATCCAGTTTTACTGAAATAAGAATTGAGTTTGTGGACATGAAGTCTACAGTATTTCAGCATGTTGAAATTTACTCTTGTTGGTAATACATTGAGTTATGCTCAAACTCAAACTCACTAGTGGTCTCATTTGACCATGTCACCAGTTACTGGGTTAGAATCAAAACCTGGATAAGACAGAACAACAATTTCAGTATTCATTTTCTATTTTGCTTTCAACAAGTTTAACTTGTTTACTTTTGTTTGTACCCATAAAAATGTAACCTTGCTGCTGGACATCCTAGATTTTGATGTTCATTGACAGCTGAATGAGCTGATGCCTGTGTTGTGACAGTATGGCTATTTAATTTAAATATTTAAAAACACTATTCATCTAGTCCCTGCAAACTGGTGTCGTGTGGGTTAGAGAGCTTTATAGGATTCAAAAATACCACGATACTTCCACAAGAAAGTGTGATGGCAAATGATCATGATGTAACTGTCATCATGGAGTTTGGCAAGGTTGACACGGAATACCCGTTTGTTTCAAAATAAGTTGCTGATTTGCTAAACAAATACGTAGGGTTACTTATCAATATTTTGATGATACGCACAAGTTTTAATTTTGTAGCGTAACTGTTGTAATCTTCGTTGCGTATTTGATACGCTTGGTTTTTATTTTACTGCGTATTTCTGCATTTCTGATGCGTATTTTACGCAGATACGCAGCTTATCTGGAGCTCTGATATTTACCAGCACAGCTACTTTCTCTGTACTACTGATTGGGGGGTTAACTAAAATTGTAATCATCTCACCTAACTCTGTGATCTGTGTATGTCTTTCAGCAGAGTGAAGATGCCTTCTTCATTGCTGATCTCGGTGACATTGTTGCCAAGTATAAGAAATGGAGGAGGCTCCTGCCAAGGGTGGAGCCTTTTTATGGTGAGTACTTATCCTACTTGTTCTTGATCTCCCTAGTGGGGCCACAGTTGGCCCAGTTGTAGGGATCCACAATTTGTTGCGCAGAGTTGTGTCCCTTGGGCACGCCAGGAACCTATGATCGTGGATTTCGAATTCCGGTTCACCCCAATTTTGTTTCCATGTTTGTCAGCACCATACCTGTGCTCGTGGGTTTCACGGAAATGGTAAACGTCTGAGACCTGCTTCACTTCGGGCTTTCCTCCAAAATTAACTTATTAAGCTGACACGCTGTGATATAACTGGAATAATGTTAAAAGCTGCGTTAAACCCAACTCACTCACTCAAAACACAAGCTAATTTCCATTTTGGAATGACAAAACCAAACCTTAATGAATATACATACAACGTTCTCAGGCTTTCCTTCCACATTAAGTTGACATGCAGTGATATGTATCATGAATACTGTTCATATGCAAATCCTATTTTCTACATACTAAATTAATGTTACGATGTCAAAGTCATCATGGTCAATCGCCGCTAGTTTTAGTCATTGATACAGGGGAGATAACACATGTGAAAAAAAATTCACTTCACATTTCCACCGTTTTGTCAATTTCCAAAGGAAACATCATTTGTGAATAAATTTCAGTGTAGATTTTAGAAAAAAAATGATAATGAAACTTGTTATATTGATTTTACCCAAAATACTAGAACACAGAGAAAAGTATTGTAAAACGTATCATTTGAAAAATGTATTGCAGTATGCCGGTAATACTGTGCAGTCCTACCATCCTATCAGATACGCTCATAGTACCATTAGTTTCTGTGTTACTTGGGCCTGACTCTGGGATCTACTTGGGCCTGACTCTGGGATTTACTTGGGCCTGACTCTGGGATTTACTTGGGCCTGACTCTGGGATTGACTTGGGCCTGACTCTGGGATCTACTTGGGCCTGACTCTGGGATCTACTTGGGCCTGACTCTGGGATTTACTTGGGCCTGACTCTGGGATTTACTTGGGCCTGACTCTGGGATCTACTTGGGCCTGACTCTGGGATCTACTTGGGCCTGACTCTGGGATTTACTTGGGCCTGACTCTGGGATCTACTTGGGCCTGACTCTGGGATTTACTTGGGCCTGACTCTGGGATTTACTTGGGCCTGACTCTGGGATCTACTTGGGCCTGACTCTGGGATCTACTTGGGCCTGACTCTGGGATCTACTTGGGCCTGACTCGGGGATTTACTTAGGCCTGACTCGGGGATTTATCAAGATGTGTTCAGGTTCAGAAATTTGGCCCCAAGTCTGCATTAAAATTCCCCAATTTTTTATGGATTGTAAAAATAACCTGTATTACACTAACAGGATGAATAGATAGGAAGAGGGTTTTATGCTTAGTTATGTGTTATTGCAATGAACGCAATTTCAAATCTCTGAATTTAACTAAATAAGGACTTTAAAAAATCCAAATTTTTGACAAAATTTCCAATTTGCCTGATGTCTGTTTAAGAGTCTAGGGGACCATCAGTTCTATCCCTGTGAAAATTCCTGGAAGGAATTGGTCCCCAGCAATACTGGTTGTATGAGGCGACGTAATGAATTAGGTGGTCAAACTTCCATGATTCCATACCCTAAAACATGAATTGTTGCTCATCATATCAATTACTGGATTGTCTGGTCCAGATTTGATTATTTACGAAAAGGTGTCATATCATGCATATCGCTGGAAAAGAACTGAGTGGTGCTCTAATCAACAAGCAGCAATGAATTGTTTGGGTCCCATGTCATCACTATGGTGCTCCCAGTCTGGCCATCTGTGCCATGCTGCACTTGGGCATTTTGTTTCACATCTGCAGAAGTCTTGAGCCTACAGTAAATGGGGATTTCATCACTAGATTGTAGAAAATCATCAGTTGAAAGTTAATTGATACCCTGACCTTTGAGTGTATTTCTCTCCAAAAATACATTCGCTCGTCACACCGAAGACCCGGGTTCGATTCCCGACATGGGTACAATATTTGAAGCCCATTTCTGGTCTCCCCTGCCGTGATATTGCTGGAATATTGCTAAAAGCGGTGTAAAATCATACTCACTCACTCACTCCAAAAATACATGGGGCAGTTGGGTAGCCTAGCGGTTAAAGCGTTCGCTTGTCATGCCGAAGACCCGGGTTCGATTCCTGACATGGGTACAATGTGTTAAGCCCGTTTCTGGTGTTTCCTGCTGTGATATAGCTGGCATATTGCTAAAATCGGTGTAAAACCATCCTCATCCACTCCAAAATACAAATGTCAGTTGTATATCATGCAATCGACAATTTTGATCTACTTGTTTCAAATGGCCATACTTGTTTGCATTATTTGCATCCGTTCTCAATTTGTATGCTTAGAGGACGCAGTATGTTTCATCTGGTTGGACGATGTTTTTTTGTCTTTCAGCTGTCAAGTGCAATGATGACTATGGTGTCCTGAAACTTCTCGCAGATCTGGGAACATCATTTGACTGTGCCAGCAAGGTGAGTTCCAGCACGCAACCAATACACTGAAATTTCTCTGGAGAAATCAATGTTTTCTCAAATAGATTTTTACTGGCATTGCAGTTTTTATGCTTACTATTGGATATAGCTTACGGACAGATTTTATTGCATGACTTCCAATCTTGTACCAAACTTGTGTCTTCAGTGGCATTATTTTCAGTAGTTTTTGGTATCAGCTGATCTGAAAGACATTTCTTGCTAGTGCTCCTAGGCTTGGGCAGCGGACAGGTGACAAGAATCAGACCATGATAGCAACCATTTGTTGGTTGCCAGGTTGTCTGTGTCATTGTTGGGCAACATGTCAAACCTTTGATCCTGGCTTCCAATATGATTTGCCCTGATTTTTTTCTAATTTTATCAGCTCCATACTCATGCTCGTCAATTTAACTGAAGTGGTAAACATCAATGACCACTTCAGGCTTTCCTCCCACAAGAAGCTGATACTCTCTCTAGGCATTAAACAAATGTCACTCTCTGTTTTATTAGGAATTCCATTTCTCGTCAGCTTGCTGAATAAATTTATAATAAATTGTCACACTGGTAACCACTATCAATACTTCTCCACTTTCAGATGGAAATCGACAAGGTGCTGAACCTTGGCATCTCGCCCTCGCGCATCATCTACGCAAATCCTTGCAAGCAGACTTCCTACGTGCGTCATGCTGCCAAACGCAATGTTGACCTTATGACCTTTGACAACGAAGCTGAACTACTCAAGGTCAAAGCTGTCTTCCCTGATGCAAGGTGAGTGCTTCCAATTCTAGGCTAGAGGTTGCAGAGTCGGTGTGAGTACTTGCAGCTCCCTGGGGTATGGGGTCGTTGAGTCCTTGGTTGGGTGCTCGCAGAGTCCCGGGATGGGTGCTCGCAGAGCCCCGTGGTGGTGCTGGCAGAGCCCCGGGGTGGGTGCTCGCAGAGCCCCGTGGTGGTGCTGGCAGAGCCCCGGGGTGGGTGCTCGCAGAGCCCTGGGTAACAGAGTAAATGTCCACCATCTTTATCACTTTGGGCTTTCTTTCTCCACATTTAAGCTAACATGCAGTGATGTAACTGAAAGACTGAGACTTATTTGTAATTTGATCTTTCGTAGCTCTTGGCAATATGTGGCCGAGGTTGTACTTACAGAGTCATATCTGATAATCCAAGATGTATCTTACTAAGCAGCATAATAATAACTGTTTGCGTGACTGTGTCCCGTCTTGCTGGTCTACAGACTGGTTCTTCGTATCCTGCCTCCGAGCAACTTCAAGGTGCAGTGTGAGCTGGGGATGAAGTTTGGCTGTCATCCAGCAAAGGCCAAACAGCTGCTGGAGACAGCCAAAGAACTGGAACTCAATGTTGTGGGAGTCAGGTAGGTCTGGAGCCTCATCTCTTGCCCCAACAATGTTATCAGTTTGAATTTCATGCTTCCTAACTTTAACTTGGATATGGAACATGGTATATTGAACCAATATTAACAGGAATAAAAGTATAGAAAGAAACATTAAGGTATTGAGAAACAAACACATGTTGTTTTATCTGACATTAATAAGGTGATAGAACAAGAACTGGTCGGCTCAGTCAGTATAGTGTGTCTTGGTGGGGTATCCATGTTAAACTGTAGCATGGTAGCTAAGTGGGCTATAATACCTGCTTCAGTCTGGGCCTAGTACATGCACATGGCGATGATCATATTAAATATGACATTAGACCCCATTTCACGTAAACTAGACAGTCTTTTCTCGACACATTGACAAATTGAAGTAAGTAAAACATTAGTGTGTATGTGAGCACACAGTGAACGGCGTTTGTGTATTGCAGCTTCCACGTTGGTAGCGGTGCCGAGGAGGCAGCTGCCTTTGCTGTTGCAGTGGAGCAGGCACATGGCGTCTTCCAGACTGGCTTGGACATGGGATTCCCCTTCACTCTGCTGGATATTGGTGGGGGATTCCCAGGCCAAGTTACTGCCGCTATATCATTCGAAGAGGTGAGTCATTGCAGGCTAAAGTCGTGGTACACTTTTCTCATGAGACTTCAGTTAGAAGCTCACTATTTGTGGCTGTATTATGAGTATATTTCATTTGGGTGTCACGCTGTTGCCAGACCGTTTATCAGTTTTCAGAAGAAAATTTTGGTACACCAGTTTGGTTTAGTAGAGTACTAGTTTTAAATATATCACATGCAAACTTGATGCAAATTAATAGAAAAAAACTCCCGCATCAAATGATTAAAAGAAATTTAATTTGCTGTATCTCAGAATCTCCTCCAGCTGTCTGCTCTGTTTCCTATGTGACCATGTTTTGTCAGTTAATGGAAATCATCTTTGTCACTACAATATTGCAAAAATGTCTAAAAGCAAATTTAACGGGAAGTTTAATTTCCATAATGAAGCAACTGTTTGAGTGATGTAACATATATCTCTCAAACAGTCCGTGACCCCACTAGTTATAGAATATAAGCTAAGCTACACGTTCACTGATACTAAGTTTATTCGTCATCAATAAGTTATTGCAGGAATGCCGCCTCGTCAGAACACTGTTAAGGGACTTGCTTTCCGCACCACCAGTATGTTCATGCACAAGTTTATGCTGCAGGTTGTTGACGTCCTCAGTCCTGCCCTGGACCACTACTTCCCAGCATCCTCCGGTGTGCAAATCATCGCTGAGCCAGGTCGCTACTTCGTGGCCTCGGCCTTCACTCTCACTGCCAACATCATTGCCAAGAGGATGGTTGCTAGAGACAAGTCTAATCATGGTCAGTGTGTCTGTGAGGAGTTGTCCCTTGGTACACACCACCTTGTTACCTTGGTGAAATCTATGCATCCATGCTATCCATTTACAATTTCCTATCGTTCGATTTGATCATTGAAAAGTGAACATTTGAAACCCAAAGTGTCTTTTCAAATTGAACACTGTCAGAGGGTTCCAGGTGTGTTTTTAGCAATTGAGTGTTTACTCACATGTTATCGTTCACCTTGTGGGTATTGATAGTTTTCTTTGGGTCCTGTCCATTGGGTAATTTTTAAACTAAAGTACTCACGGAAATAAAACAAAAACTGTTTTTTCGATCTCAGATTTTAAATAAATGCAGTTAATATACAAAATATATAAATATTCAAACAATTCAATAAGTACTAATTATGCCTTGGCACAAATACAGCGTATCAAAGGTTTTTATGTCTTTTTACACGTAAAGGTGTGTAAAAATATGAACAAAACACACTATTGTGAAACTGAGCATAACCAGGTGTTAGTAGATCAAGGTGAATGTCCATGACCTATGACACCTTGACGACAGGTGAAAACAGGTGCTTGAAACCCACATGCATGTTATTTGTCAGTGGTTAGTGATTTGTGAGTGGCATTGTGGGATAGTGAATCATCGTCAAAATATCAGAACGTAAAAGTAACATATTCCCTCTCAAACAACTTACATATCATTATTATTATGTACATAAACATAGCTGTTATTTTTATTGTTGTTTTGATAACATTTTTCCAGGCTAATTTGCATAATGCCTATAGCCTGTTTCTGCCATGTCAATTTGGACTTAGTTTTATTTTTGAATGTTGAAAGTGCCTACAAATTACCTCCTGTAAAGTACATTTTGTATTGAGCACTGAGATAAAACTAGCAAATCCTGACTAGTACTTTTCCAGTTGTTTTGTTATTTCGTATTTACATCTACATAATGCTTTGTGTTGATTATTAAATCCAGCAAAACAGATTTTTTTCATTTCCATGAGTACTTTAATAAGAGGTAAACCTTTCTTTGAATTAGCCACACATTCCCCTGCGACAGATGTTTGTCGTAACAGGCAACCAAGTTGATAGGTGGGTCATGCTCTCACTGTCAGTTACTGGGTTGTCTGGTCCAGACTTGCAACCAGCATCATGTGGGTCAATTATTGCTGAGTGTGGAAACAAACAAATAATCAAACATCAAGTAGAAATTCTTTGGTGCAAATTGATATGATTTGAATGCCAGTAGTTCACATAACCAGTACTAGAGTAAAGATGTCAACTGAGAAATATGTGGGATTTTGGTGTTTTGCCTTGCCAGTCTGAAGTATTTCATCGCCTGTACATTAAGAGCATGATCTGGTGATTCTTATACAGATAACCAGTTATGACTAACACGTTGCTTGTGTGTTTCAGAACATCTCCCTGACCAAGTGGTGACCGGGGACGATGAGCCAGCCTACATGTACTATATCAATGATGGGGTGTATGGCTCCTTCAACTGTTTGCTGTTTGATCATGCCACTGTCACACCATCTGTTTTGCAGGTACTTATTTTTTCTCATTGACTATTGTTAGTTTGTTTCAGTAGCATAAGATTAGGTTTAGGTAATTTAATGTATAGGAATAACCTGTTTTGATCACAGCAGTGTCCTCAATAGTAATATCCTTACGACAGCCACGGTTTGTCGATATGTTTAGGGTCATGGAGTAAATACCCACATGAATATCTTGAAATAGGTCAAAACACTAATTTCCAGTATGCAGTCAGAGGTAATACCCTATGGATCTCAAAAATATTTGTAGAAATGGTCCGTGCACACTTTGGCCAGCTTAAGTATATCCATGTGGAGATAATTCTTCTCTTCTCTCTTCTCTTTGTTGAGCTCACTGCCCAGGGTCAGCTCTTTCCCCATATACTTTCCCGTTGGGGCTTTTCAAATTGGTCTTGAAGTATAAGGGGGTTACTGATAAACAGTTGAAAACAATTACAGATTTGATTTGTTCACAACTTCAAGTGCCTATAAAGTCATAATTAGGCTGTTGTCCGTCTACTGGATGAGGATGGCAGCGATTGATGTTTGTGTAACACTGGACACAACTCCTTACTGTGCTAATGTCTTTGTTTTTGTTCAGGATGGCAGCGATATGACCTTTGTGTCAAGTGTGTGGGGACCAACCTGTGACGGCCTGGACTGCATCATGGAAGACTGTCGACTGCCCGAGATGCAGATTGGGGAGTGGATCTACTTTGAGGACATGGGGGCCTACACCATGTGTGCTGCCTCCACCTTCAACGGGATGCCCCGACCCAGGGTCTTCTATCTCTGTCAAGATGTAGTCTGGTGAGAACAACATAGCATGAACAACTGTTGAGCCATGATCCACAAAGCTATTTTTGCCGTACATCATTATACCTGACCCTATTGTTTCACATATGAAAGGATGGCGTGTTGCTTAAAGCACTGACTGGATCAGGAGTAGTCGAGTAGCAGGAATCAACCCCACCTCTAAATGAATTTTGACAAATTTTTATTTTTATTTTTATTTTAATGTGATGCTGTTATGGTAACCATACTCATAATATTTAGCATAGTATTTGTATGGAAATACATCCATCAGTCACAACATAGGTGTGACCTTCAGTGCCCATGGCTCTAGTGTTCCATTGTATATGGCTTTGAGATATGCCATTCTGTGACGGGGCTGTAATATTGCTTTAAGTTGTGAGACCATACTCACTTCTTGATGGGTGTCTTCCCAGGTTTGATGTTTGTGCATTGAACAGGTTTTGTAGGCTGGTTAATAAATCAGTTTATCGGATACTAATGTAGTGATGCACTTTGATCCAAACCTAGCATCTTGATACATTCTTTGTTCTTCAATGACTTAATGAAAGTATATTTGCAGAAATTGCTACAGACCTCTTATTTATGAGCTTTGTTTCCTGTTTCAGGGCGCAGACCTACTCAAAGCAGACCAAGAAGATGGATCAGCCAATCTCCAAGGTGATCCCCTTCATGAAGGCAGGCCATGACCTCTTTGAAACTCACGATCAGGTGGAGGAAGTTTTTGGGTCACCACGACCTGAACTGATATGCGACCTCGACCCTCTCAACTGAGAAGTTTTGCTTGGCATTGTCATCGGATTGTTAGCTCCAAACCTATATAGTCAAGATTAGGTGGTTTGTCATTTTGATTCTGTAACTTTTATTTTGTTTCTCTTTCCCACATTCGCTCTCAGTTGAACTTGCTGCTTTGTTCTCGTTTCATCTCTCTCCCTCACGACCCCAATGGTTAGGTACAAATCAGGGGCCAATTTTGAAATGTTTCACATGTGACCTGTTTGTATGCTGATTTTGGCCCAAATGAAATTTGATTTTTGTTACCATTTCCATTGAAACATCCAAAACCACAATGTCGGGGCATTGATGAAACCATTTTTACACTTGTTTTCTGTAAATTTGTTCAGATATTTATTGATATTACAGTTATTAATGTTTAGTATTTACAGTTATAAATTAGTGATTGAGGTTCACCTTGTATTTATAAATGACGTCAAAATGTTTTTGGTTAAATGGGCGATTTTGTTTCTTCTTTATTCATTTCATTTATTCATATCATTTATAAACAAATTTACAGAAAACATTGCAGAGATCAGTAAGCATGTGATGACTATGTCCATAGTTAGTGATTTTCGACTGTAGTCCTACTTATAGTACACAGTGTGACTAGTTACCTGTCTAATGTATCCACTAGTCTCACATCTGCGGTCTAGTCTGAATCAAGGGTATACAAACAAAGGGGACACCTGCTACTGTCACCATGGCCAGAGTTTTTTTTTCTTTCATATCGGTTACTGTGATGGTGATTGAATAAAATATTTATAACCATATATGTCATGTTTTTATTGCTTTGAACTTTGGGGTAAAGTTTTCCCTTCCCGGACCAACGTCGTGGATTGTGCTGTTTTTGATCAGCGCTTTCAGCATCATATATGCCTTTATTATTGTTCATGATACAATACTATTATCATCGGATCATAGGTTTTTGGACATCATACATTTATTTAACAAGAATACTTGGTGTGGCATCATAGAGAAAATGTAAATACTCAGAGGTCTTTTTTAGCATATAGATATGAAATATTTTACAGTTGTTCATGTGAAGGAAACTGAATGTTCCTTCAGGGTCCGAAAACCCATACACGCAATCTTTGTTTATTCCACTTGACTTTTTTGGCATGCCCCCACACCCCCCTAGAGTTCTCTTTTGGGGGAAAACATGCTCACATGCCTGATATTACATCATTGGCATGAATCCTGTATTTTTGAATATAATAAAATGTTCAGGTCTTCAACAGAAGTCTTCTCCACTGTGAACTATTCATAATCAGAAGGGGCGGTCGGGTAGCCTAGTGGTAAAGCGTTCGCTCGTCACTCCCAAAAGCCGGGTTCAATTGTCACTGGAACTCAATCTTAGTTTTTAAAACATTGAAGTTAAAATCAGTAAGAAATATGTAATATTTCATTAATTAACAAACTATTTACTATTTGTTGTTGACCAGCAGGGATAACGGGCGTATGTGAGCTTTGCTCACTTCTTTCTTGTTTATTTTATTTTTTGGTTGTGAAACTAAATCTTATTGGAAAATTTGTGATGTTCATACTGCATACTGGATTTAATTAGAAATATTGGAAGATAAAGGCTGAACCAGCGAAACAATCCCTGAAAAGGGCTTGAGTTTTAGTGTTCCATATCTGTACAAGCCTCCCCAACTTAAAGGACAAAAGGAGGGAGAACCACACTACTTCGCTCGTGCAAGGTGCAACGTAACATCTTTTAGTTTTTCTGTCATATATGGTAGTTATTTTCTGGATAAGGAGGCGTACAACTTCATGGATAACAACTTCTGGTTTATTGCATATAGGACGTTTCGACAGATTCTTACACCGTTATCAAGCAGGTGTGATTACAAATAAGTGATGAGAGGTGTATATGCGTGGCATTTTGTTGTAAGCAACACATTGACATGAACATCAGGTAATAGATATTAACAAGAAGCGCCCAGATAATCGGATGTGTGTATTTGGTAAAACATTTTCTCAGTAAAGTTCAAATTCTTGAACTTTTGGGGGACTGAGTCTCATCCGGGATTCGAACCCACTCTCAAAGAATGAGCAGCATCACTCAAAGTTCACGTCCTAAACCACACAGCACCCGCAACAATGGAAATCCGACAACTTGTAGTACAGATCACGTACTTTGTGTACCCCTCTGACAAGTGGAAATTTGCACGGCTGCCTTTGCGGTGCCTTATTACAATTCTCAGACGTGTCCATAGAGGACGTGATCTGCACTACCAGTTGTGGAATTTTCTTTTTTGTGGAAGCTTCGGTGGCTGAGTGGGTGAGATATTTGTGTGCTGGCGATTAGGTCCCTCACTATGAGATTGTGTTCAAATGACAGATGGGACTCAACGCCAAAAAAAAGTAGAATTTGTACTTTTCTGAGTGTGATACCAAATAAAACATTTGTTACATTTAATCACTTTCTAAAAGGCATTGTGTTCATAGTACACTCGTAATGAAGCTAGATGTACATTATTAAAATGATAATAAAGTTTTCACAAGCTGATTGGATGCTAACCAAGAAAGGTCTATTGCTTCATTAGATAAGATGTGATGCCCTTGATCTCTGTTGATAAGAGGTTTGTGAGGGCTGATATCTGTAGCTTCTATGAGTTTTCAATTAGTGAAGTTTTGATGTTTGAACAAGACGGGTTGGACTGAATTGAGTTGCTGTCTGCTTTGGCTGTTGTCTAATTTTGATGCGGGTATCTACTGGGCGCGAGTTTCACCAATGTACGAGTCATCACAGTCACAATTAATGTTATATACTGATTCAAATTAAAAACTTCACATTTTTAAAAGTAATCCCATATATGATCTACAACGGACAAATGTATCAGAGAAGGTAATTTTTAATCATTAATGTCCAAAGCAGGATTTCAATTAACGGTGGTAACCATAATTTGTTCCAAGCACCTACGGTATTCGGTAATAACATCAACAGTTTAAATCATAAGTCGCAAGCACGAGAATCTGATGGCACCCAAGTTCAGTAGCGTGTATGGCCACCATGTGCGTTGACAACTGCCACACAACGCATCCGCATGGACTTTGTGATGCTTTTGAACACATGATGGGAAGACGACGCCATTGTTGCTGCAAAATAGTGCCAAGATCTTGCAAATTCTGTGGTTGGTTCTGGAGAGTGCGCAGACTTCTGCCAAGTGCATCCCAGACGTGTTCGATGGGATTGAGATCGGGAGACCCTGACAGCCAGTCCATTACGTTAACACCCGCATTCTGAAGGAAATTCCTTGTCAAAATTGCTGTGTGGGGTCTGGCATTGTCGGATCAAACCGGGTCCACGTGCTGCCTTAAAAAGCAGAAGTTTTGGTGCAAGTACCTGGTCGCGGTAAGCAGCAGCGTTGAGGTTGCCACGGATGACAAGAAGCCTGGAACGTGCATTGCCACAGAAAGCACCCCACACCATGACACTTCCGCCTCGAAATCTGTCAACTTCCTGTACACAACACTGGGCGTAACGATCATGGCGGCGACTCCACACCCTCGCCCTACCATCAGCAAATCAAGGATTAAATCGGGATTCATCATGAAGACGACTTGATTCCAATTCCTCTGAGTCCATCGTAAGTGTCGCTGTGCCTACAATTGACGTTGACGTCTGTGTAATTGAGTCAGAATCGGCCCGCAGTATGGCCGTCGTGCTTGAAGGTGAGCAGTTCTCAGACGGTTTCGAACAGTTTGCGCACTCAGTTTACCCCTAAACAGTTCATTTCTGGTTGATGTAGCCGTCAAAAATCGGTTACGGAGGTGACGTAAGACAATCTGACGATCCTCTGCATGTGACGTCACACGTGGTCGACCTGGCCGAGGGCGATCAGCGGTGGTACCCGTTTGCTGTAGAAGCGTCTGTAAATCATAAACAGTCCGTCGACTACAACCCATCGTCCTTGCGACTTCAGCTACGGACGTTCCCGTCTGCAACATGCCGATGGCACGTTCACGATGCACATATGAAAGGCGTGGCATAACAAATGGCCGTAAAGACTTTTGTTTTCTTGTGTTTTTATTTTTTTGTTAATGACTGCTAACAAGTATGGCTGAAAACGCGTGCGGTATTATGGCCACGTGACCAGTTGCACGTGAAAAAACACTTTTGCCACTATAGTGCTGTGCACATGATTTTGATCGATTCACTTGCACAAAAACGGGTGTTATCTGAAGACAATATTACGTGGCCATTACTGTTTAAATACACAATAAGGGCCCACAATGATAACTGGTCAAAATGTTAAAATTTTAGGATTGTGAAGTTTTTAATTTGGTTCAGTATAGATTATACATTGACAAATAATTGTCAGTATTATCAGCCACTGTTTGCATTGTCCCAAGAATCATTTTGTAGGTCAACAGATTTGGAGTTGAAGCCAAACACGTGCGCGTCCGATTTAGGAACGACAATTTTATTGTTACATGTACACTATGCAGACAAAAGTTATGCATGTTTACTGTTATGTTTCCCTTAAGAAAATACAGATCGATTAGATATCTTTCTTTGGAGATCGTCATTAACCAGTAACCTCATTCCTTGGACAATAGAAATGGAATGCGTTGTAAATGTTATTTAAAAACAACTTATTTCTTGTAACTCTTTCAATCAAACTGTCTTCGGAAATGAATTACAATGCTAATTTGCTTGTAAAATAGAGCTTAGCGTTCCCGCCAGGTGAGACGAGATATCCGATTATGGTATAGGCTCTTTGTTCAAACAGGAATATTCATAGTTATGTAACAATTCTCTTTCTATTAAACCGTATGGTTGTTATCAGATGTACACTGTAAACATACTTTGAGACATATTAAATAGATGAAACTTGGCAAAACAGATCATCAAGGTTGAAATTAAAGTGTCAAATGTTCTTAAAGTGAAACACATTACTAGTCTCTGAGAAAATGGCATCACAAGTCAGTATCTCGTGTGTTCGCCATGTGCATTGATGACTGCCGTGCAATGTCGATACATGGAATGGATGAGGCGGTTGATGAAGGCCATAGGCACTTGAGCCCACACTCTGAGGGATGCCTGACGCTGTGCAGCTGCAGTTGTCGGCCTTGGTCGGACGTCATTCAGCCGTCTTTGAAACTCGTCCCACAGGTGCTCAATGGGATTAAAATCGGGCCTGAGGGCAGGCCACCGCATGTTTCTGATGCCATTCAGCTGGAGGAAGTCTCTTGCTGCTTTCGCAGTGTAAGCACGGGCGTTATCATGCTAAAACTCGTGGTTGCGGCGACGTGCCAAATGAAGTATGGCGTGTGGTCTCAAGACTTGATCAATGTACCGAACTGCTATGACACCATTGCCTCTCCCTGGACCGATGTTCTGGAAGACCACAGGGCCGACCCTCGGTGCAAGACCAATTCCAGCCCACACCATGATGCTCGGACCACCACAAGAGTCTCTCTCAACAACAGAAGCATCCGAAAAACGTTCCCCACGGCGTCGCCATACTCTCTCTCTCTCTCTCTGCCATATAGTAACGGCTCTCGTCTGAAAAGAGGACTCTTCTCCACTGCTGGTGGCGCCAATGTTGGTCCCGGCGATGACGTGGTGTCAGAATGGGTCCTCGGTGTGGCCTGTGACAGTGGAGGTGTCTGCTCGTCAATCGTCGACGCACTAATGTGTCGCTGGTGGTTCCCCATGGTCTTTCGAGCAGTTTTCGCAGCAGTAACAAAGCGATCTTGAAGATGCTGTCGCACAATCTGACGATCCTGACGTCGGATGCTGACCCTTGGTCTTCCACTACGTGGTCGGTCATCTGTAGTGTTGGTCGTCTGGTACCGTTGCTGGAGCCTGTATATGGTACTTACGTGGACTTGAAACGCATTGGCTACTTGCCGGGCGGTTTGTCCAGCTTGCAATCTCCCAAGGGCTTGATGTCGCTGATTTCTTGTCAATCTTGGCATGTGGTAGCAATTCAATAACGAATGAATGTTATCCGATCTGGGTGGATATTTATAGGGCAAGAAATGGGGGAACGCATGTGCATCGGGTTACCATGGCCGTTGCCGTGGTGCGTTTGGGCGATCGGTTTTATTGTAATCTGGTTTGGGTTTTTTATCGTCAAATTTCATTTTTCTGGACAAGGCAATGTTAAATTTCCGAAACTTTGACAAAAATTTCCCAGATATTTAAATGACAACTTTTCATGCAATGTTACTTGGGGTGACGTTTTTTTTGCGGTTCAGTATATAAACGCGGACCGAAAGTTGTTTCAAGTAGATCCTTCAGTATAGATTAGATAAGCATAAATTTCTATCAAGTAACGTTCAATTATTCAAGTTCATTCAAATGGACTTGTATAATATTCATATTGTCCAATGAGAACGTAGCATTTTACAGGTAAACGACAGCCAATGATATCATTCTTCTGTTGATTTAATTATTATCATGTATATATAAACAGCGTGTCGAGTTAGTTGTCAGGCTCTTGGTCGAAGCCTACCAGTGTCCGTTTATCAAAGGCTCTGCTTACAGAAAGACTTATGTTTTATGTTCGATCCCATATGGCCAGTATGTGACCTTGTTAGCCATTACAGTGTCAGTTATACCTGGGCTACGTACGTGGCATAAGTGAATGCTGCCACCATTGTGAGTGCATGGTGTGTGAATGCTGCCACCATTGTGAGTGCATGGTGTGTGAATGCTGCCATTATTGTGAGTGCATGGTGTGTGAATGCTGCCACCATTGTGAGTGCATGGTGTGTGAATGCTGCCAACATTGTGAGTGCATGGTGTGTGAATGCTGCCACCATTGTGAGTGCATGGTGTGTGAATACTGCCACCATTGTGAGTGCATGGTGTGTGAATGCTGCCATTATTGTGAGTGCATGGTGTGTGAATGCTGCCACCATTGTGAGTGCATGGTGTGTGAATGCTGCCAACATTGTGAGTGCATGGTGTGTGAATGCTGCCACCATTGTGAGTGCATGGTGTGTGAATGCTGCCATTATTGTGAGTGCATGGTGTGTGAATGCTGCCACCATTGTGAGTGCATGGTGTGTGAATGCTGCCATTATTGTGAGTGCATGGTGTGTGAATGCTGCCACTACTGTGAGTGCATGGTGTGTGAATGCTGCCACTATTGTGAGTGCATGATTTGTGAATGCTGCCACCATTGTGAGTGCATGGTGTGTGAATGCTGCCACTATTGTGAGTGCATGGTGTGTGAATGCTGCCATTATTGTGAGTGCATGGTGTGTGAATGCTGCCACTACTGTGAGTGCATGGTGTGTGAATGCTGCCATTATTGTGAGTGCATGGTGTGTGAATGCTGCCACCATTGTGAGTGCATGGTGTGTGAATGCTGCCATTATTGTGAGTGCATGGTGTGTGAATGCTGCCACCATTGTGAGTGCATGGTGTGTGAATGCTGCCATTATTGTGAGTGCATGGTGTGTGAATGCTGCCACTATTGTGAGTGCATGGTGTGTGAATGCTGCCACCATTGTGAGTGCATGGTGTGTAAATGCTGCCAACATTGTGAGTGCATGGTGTGTGAATGCTGCCACCATTGTGAGTGCATGGTGTGTGAATGCTGCCATTATTGTGAGTGCATGGTGTGTGAATGCTGCCACCATTGTGAGTGCATGGTGTGTGAATGCTGCCATTATTGTGAGTGCATGGTGTGTGAATGCTGCCACTACTGTGAGTGCATGGTGTGTGAATGCTGCCACTATTGTGAGTGCATGATTTGTGAATGCTGCCACCATTGTGAGTGCATGGTGTGTGAATGCTGCCACTATTGTGAGTGCATGGTGTGTGAATGCTGCCATTATTGTGAGTGCATGGTGTGTGAATGCTGCCACCATTGTGAGTGCATGGTGTGTGAATGCTGCCATTATTGTGAGTGCATGGTGTGTGAATGCTGCCACTACTGTGAGTGCATGGTGTGTGAATGCTGCCACTATTGTGAGTGCATGATTTGTGAATGCTGCCACCATTGTGAGTGCATGGTGTGTGAATGCTGCCACTATTGTGAGTGCATGGTGTGTGAATGCTGCCACCATTGTGAGTGCATGGTGTGTGAATGCTGCCACCATTGTGAGTGCATGGTGTGTGAATGCTGCCACCATTGTGAGTGCATGGTGTGTGAATGCTGCCACCATTGTGAGTGCATGGTGTGTGAATGCTGCCACCATTGTGAGTGCATGGTGTGTGAATGCTGCCATCATTGTGAGTGCATGGTGTGTGAATGCTGCCACCATTGTGAGTGCATGGTGTGTGAATGCTGCCACTATTGTGAGTGCATGGTGTGTGAATGCTGCCACCATTGTGAGTGCATGGTGTGTGAATACTGCCACTATTGTGAGTGCATGGTGTGTGAATACTGCCACTATTGTGAGTGCATGGTGTGTGAATGCTGCCACCATTGTGAGTGCATGGTGTGTGAATGCTGCCACTATTGTGAGTGCATGGTGTGTGAATGCTGCCACCATTGTGAGTGCATGGTGTGTGAATGCTGCCACTATTGTGAGTGCATGGTGTGTGAATGCTGCCATCATTGTGAGTGCATGGTGTGTGAATGCTGCCACTATTGTGAGTGCATGGTGTGTGAATGCTGCCACCATTATGAGTGCATGGTGTGTGAATGCTGCCACTATTGTGAGTGCATGGTGTGTGAATGCTGCCACTATTATGAGTGCATGGTGTGTGAATGCTGCCACCATTGTGAGTGCATGGTGTGTGAATGCTGCCACCATTGTGAGTGCATGGTGTGTGAATGCTGCCACTATTGTGAGTGCATGGTGTGTGAATACTGCCAATATTGTGAGTGCATGGTGTGTGAATGCTGCCACCATTGCGAGTGCATGGTGTGTGAATGCAGCCCCATTGTGAGTGCATGGTGTGTGAATGCTGCCACCATTGTGAGTGCATGGTGTGTGAATGCTGCCATCATTGTGAGTGCATGGTGTGTGAATGCTGCCACTATTGTGAGTGCATGATTTGTGAATGCTGCCACTATTTTGAGTGCATGGTGTGTGAATGCTGCCACTATTGTGAGTGCATGGTGTGTGAATGCTGCCACCATTGTGAGTGCATGGTGTGTGAATGCTGCCACTACTGTGAGTGCATGGTGTGTGAATGCTGCCATTATTGTGAGTGCATGGTGTGTGAATGCTGCCACTCCTGTGAGTGCATGGCGTGTGAATGCTGCCGCTGCTGTGAGTGCATGGTGTGTGAATGCTGCCGCCACTGTGAGTGCATGGTGTTTGAATGCTGCCACATTGTGATGTGTCCCCTCGGCGCAAGACCCTCACTCACACACTCACTCCAAGCTATGGCTGATTTAATCTAACGAATAATGTATTTGACCTGAGATATTAAAAACGCCACACTTCCCAGGACGAATTCGCTTACTTTCAGGACAGCCTCGCCTATTGTCTGGCAGAAAGAAAAAATGTCTCTCATGTCGTTAAAATTGAAAATTTGTACCAAGATATTATCTTGGCCTGGGGATGTCAGTGTGCCTTTAAGATCGCCGTCATATAACCGGCGTGACGACGCAACTCTTGCATTTCTCGGTCAGCTGTCGACATGCTTCTGGCACTGCTCCTCGCTCTGTGTGTTGGATCACAAGGTCAGTCTCGAATCTGTACATTTAGCAAAGTATCACAACAAAAATATGAGGATTGATAACGAAATGTATTAGGTTTTTTTCTTTACTGTTAATTTTTTCTATTTCGTGATTAGCATAACTAAGGTGAATTGTGTAAAGAGGTGATCCAGTACACCTTTGGTGACTGGAGTAAGAGGATATTTACTTCATATTGACACGTATGTAAATGATATTTGGTTCAATATTCAAAACACACATATGCGCATGGATCTATCCATGGAGCTATTTCTCTCGTTGTTTTTCTACGTGGCAGTAAGATCTGTACTTTCACCGACAAACAGTTGGTAAGGTTTGTTATTCTGCATTTTCTACACCGTCATTTGTTCTTCAACCGTCGCTGGTTTTGGAAATAGATAAATATAAAAAAACAGATCTGATTTTAATTTACAATGCAGGGAATATTCGCTAATACAAAACCCAACAGTTTTCTTGATATATTTGGTTATTGGTATAATTGTAGAGTAATTACATATCCCGTCCTATTGGTTTCACTGGGCCTTTTCGTAGAATAACCTCCTACCATTGACCTTCTACAAAAAGTCCATGGGTCTTCCAGAGGGAAACCAGCATAGTGGGTTTGACATGTTTTGAAAGTTTTACGTTATGGTTAAAACACGACTCTGAGGGTTTGGTTGAGATTGAAAACACGATGGGGAGGTGCAAACCCGAGGGTCGAAAGTGCCTCTGTCCCGGAGAAATTCCATAGACAGTCCCTCATTTGCACGCATATTCTGTAGATAGTCCCTCTGTCTCAGAGATATTCTACAGAATGCCGCTTCTGTCCCACGCATATTCCATAGAAAGACCCTCTGTCTCAGAGATATTCTACAGAATGCCGCTTCTGTCCCACGCATATTCCATAGAAAGACCCTCTGTCTCAGAGATATTCTACAGAATGCCGCTTCTGTCCCACGCATATTCCAAAGAAAGTCCCTCTGTCTCAGAGATATTCTACAGAATGCCGCTTCTGTCCCACGCATATTCCATAGAAAGTCCCTCTGTCTCAGAGATATTCTACAGAATGCCGCTTCTGTCCCACGCATATTCCATAAAAAGTCCCTCTGTCCAGAGATATTCTACAGAAGGCCCCTTCTGTCCCACGCATATTCCATAGAAAGACCCTCTGTCTCAGAGATATTCTACAGAAGGCCCCTTCTGTCACACGCATATTCCATAGAAAGTCCTTCTGTCTCAGAGATATTCTACAGAAGGCCCCTTCTGTCCCACGCACATTCCATAGAAAGCCCCTCATTCGCACGCATATTCAATAGAAATTCCTCATTCGCACGCATATTCAATAGAAAGTTCCTCTGTTCCAGGGAAATTCTGCAGAAAGCCCCTCTGTCTCAGAGATATTCCATAGACAGTCCCTCTGTCCCACGCATATTCTGTAGAAAGTCGCTGTCACACGCATAATCTGTAGACGTCCATCTGTACCACGCATATTCTGTAGAAGTCCCTCTGTACCACGCATATTCTGTAGAAAGTCGCTGTCCCACGCATATTCTAGAGAATGTCAGTCTGTACCACGCATATTCTGTAGACAGTCGCTGTCCCACGCATATTCTGTAGAAAGTCGCTGTCCCACGCATATTCTGTAGAAGTCCCTCTGTCCCACGCATATTCTGTGGAAAGTCGCTGTCCCACGCATATTCTAGAGAAAGTCCCTCTGTCCCACGCATATTCTGTAGAAGTCCCTCTGTGCCACGCATATTCTAGAGAATGTCAGTCTGGTTTGTCACCCTATCCCTATACGGTTCTTGTTTGTGCTCATGATGGAGTGGAAATCGTACAATTGACTTTGTTTTTTGGCAGAGATTTCTTATCAAAAAGGGTTTTGTCGCTTATATTCTATCCTTTACGTAAATACCTCAGAGATCTAATAGCAAGCAAATATAGTAGATTTTATATATATATATATATAAATTTACACTTTGGTGTGTTCGACACTGACGTCCATTGTGAGGTGACATTCACCACATGGGACTTCAGTTGCCGCACCCTCATCAGGGGAGATAACCCACATACCGCACCTCAGTAGATGGATCACCAGCAATGATGGTCAAGGTCGAGAAATTTGAATTGACTATCGAAACGTTCAATAAAATAAACCTACGTACCTGCAACGTGGGCAGATATTTATGTGGGTGCATGTGTAAGTGTGTCCGTCTAACAATTATGTGGTGAAGGTGGTGAATTGTTTAATAACATAAGGATCACATTTCAATCTTCCAATATATATACTTGATAAGAGCATAATCCCGTCAGATAAACGTTTTATATTACCCACATGTGGTGAGATACTGACCTTGTGTGACCTCGTATTTGTATCTGGATTAGACGTGAGCTCACTTCGGTCAGTCCATGATAGGTCCTAGATGAACCACGTGTGTCTTTCAACAAGCGCTAGGTGTAATCATGAATATATACACAGTTCTACTCAACATATACAAAAGTGTTCAACAAGCGCTCGGTGTAATCATGAATATATACACAGTTCTACTCAACATATACAAAAGTGTTCAACAAGCCCTAGGTGTAATCATGAATATATACACATTCTACTCAACATACACAGAAGTGGTCAACATATGCCTGGTGTAATCATGAACACATACACAGTTCTACTCAACATATACACAAGTGTTCCAGAAGCGCTAGGTGTAATCATGAATATATACACAGTTCTACTCAACATATACAGAAGTGTTCCAGAAGCGCTAGGTGTAATCATGAATATATACACAGTTCTACTCAACATATACAAAAGTGTTCCAGAAGCGCTAGGTGTAATCATGAATATATACACAGTTCTACTCAACATATACAAAAGTGTTCAACAAGCGCTCGGTGTAATCATGAATATATACACAGTTCTACTCAACATATACAAAAGTGTTCAACAAGCGCTCGGTGTAATCATGAATATATACACAGTTCTACTCAACATATACAAAAGTGTTCAACAAGCGCTAGGTGTAATCATGAATATATACACAGTTCTACTCAACATATACAAAAGTGTTCAACAAGCGCTAGGTGTAATCATGAATATATACACAGTTCTACTCAACATATACAGAAGTGGTCAACAAGCGCTAGGTGTAATCATGAATATATACACAGTTCTACTCAACATATACAGAAGTGGTCAACAAGCGCTAGGTGTAATCATGAATAGTTGTGCAGGGAATGTGGGTTCACTGACACCAAGACCAGATTCATACCCCAAAAATACTACCACAGAGGTAATTTTTTAAGCAAATTATGCAATGCAATCCAGTGATCGTCATGGATCAAGATGCATATCGAGGAAACAATGTATTCTTTTGATCGAATCTCCTGCTTAATTGCGTTGTATTTGTTGAGTTCTGACAAAACTAAATGAAACTCCTCCTCGGATATCTTGCAATCAGCTTGTGATATGATATTCAGTAACCATTCAATTTTTGTTTCGAGCGTAACATATTTATTGTTTTCGGCGTGAACAAGATTGTGTAAAGTGTTTTTATGGAGTCTACTAACGTAGACATAATTTAAATCCCCTAAATTAGGTGCTGGGACATAACGTGCTATGAATATAACTTCTTTCCACTTGTATACATTATCTTGTAAGTGTAAAGCATATAATATGCTCTAGATACCGGGTTTATCAAATCCTTCTGTGCCTCCAAGATCGGAAAGTGCAAATGTATTACATTGTCTGAGGTTATGCTTTCCAGGACCTGAAGAGTCAACCATTATTTATAATATGGAGTGACACACTCAAATATCCTAATTGTACAGGTTGATGTTTTACATCTAAAACAGAAATGTTGAGCTTTGTAATAATATCCCGCCTTAACTTCTTATACTGCAACGGTGAGAAAGATTCTGTTCTACCACTATTGTATTTTTCATCTTTGACTGAAATAGCTCTTAGCAGAGTTGAAGGACTTTTGAGTTGAATATTGTCTGTTGTACTAATCTGTTCAAGATGGATGCACAAATCTTGATAGGGAACTATATCGGGTAATTTAACTCCGTGCACTGTTGTGATGGCTGCCACTTCTCTTCTAATAAATCCCAGTGTATTTGCTAAGTCCCTAAGTCAAGTTTTTCAAAATAATTTTACTAACCCAGGAGTTGTAAGAGTTTATGAATCAATAAAATCTTATGTATGGGCAATCCTTGGTGCACAGTCACAAAGACAAACAGGAATAATTGGTTCTGGGACGTCGCTTGATGCACAAAAACAGTTTGTTGCAAAAGTAGAGGATGCTATTGCTTCACCAGTTGAAATACCATCTTCTATAAAGCGTTATCAAGATGTATTACACTACGCTCAATCAAAAGTAGACTATGTTTTGGTGGCAGGACTATACATGACTGTCTCCGAGTAGAATGGAACTTGAAATTGGTAATGTTGTAGGCCATAATAATAAAATTGTTATTGCTTACTTTCAACAAAAAACAGGTATAAATTCAGATATTAACACAGAATTTATACACAAAAAGTTACAGGCAAACAGGAAAAGTAAAACCACAGTCATCTTCAAAACCACAAGTTGTAAAGCCACATTTTATGGCCAAAAATCAACAATATATCAATGAAAAACAGTGCTTAAAGTAGGTAGAGTCACAGCGGGTTTACTCATGATTTGGATAAATAGTCTTTAGTGGCCACATACAACAGACCAGCAATCGCCACTATCACTGCCCACACGTATTGACTTAGCCAAGTGAAGTGGTGGTCTGGGCTAATAAATTCAAGAACTAGGATACAATGCTCCCTATTATACGAGGAAGTGCAGACGCGGCTTTCCAAGCGAGCTTTGCTAGTGCTTCTCCTAATGCTTTTAAATGCTTTTCTATCCACTCTTTTACACCATCCCTATCACTAGGTGGTGTGCCACCGCCTGTACCACCACCTCCAGTTAACGCGAGAGCCAAAGTTGATGTAATAAATCCCGATGCGGTTAAAATACTGGTAATGGTTATCCTCTGTTCTCTGAACAAGGTTTTAATTTTTTCAGCCAGTGTAGTATTATCATTGAGGAATTGATCAATAGTTTCTCAGATTCGACTGATTTGTGAACAAAGTGCTTCTCTATTAGTGGAAGCTGCTTCCAAACGGGCTGATCTTTCGTCTTCCAAGTTACGCAATCTTTCGAATTATAATATAACAAATCACAATACTGATTGGTTAACACGGCATTTGTTGCTAAGAAAAGGTTATATCCCTACGAATGTATGGATGATTGATCTAGATTCGACGAAACTAAATTACCACCCGTTGAATCCTTCTATAGAAACTGAACAGAATCTAAACTATCTGATGCTGATTATAAACACGCTGTAAATGTGTGGGATAAATTAGGCTGTAAGAATGTGGCGAATATCACGATCAGTACTTAAAAACAGATGTACTGTTACTTGCCAATATATTCGTGATATTTAGAAAGACATCTAGCATGGTACTATTCCAGTCCCGGACTATCGTGGGATGCATTGTTGAAGAAGACCGGTGTAGAACTAAAATTACTCACCGATTATGATATGCACTTGTTTGTTTAGAAAGGATTAAGAGGCCGTATATCAATGACGACGAAAAGGTATTGTAAGGCCAATAATATATTAGTGGAAGAATATGATTTGAGTAAACCTACTACACACATATTATATCTCGACGCCAACAATTTGTACAGATGGGCTAAGTGAGTGAGTGAGTGAGTATGGTTTTACGCCGCTTTTAGCAATATTCCAGCAATATCACGGCGGGGACACCAGAAATGGGCTTCACACATTGTACTAATGTCGGGAATCGAACCCGGGTCTTCGGCGTGACGAGCGAACGCTTTAACCACCAGGCTACCCGACCGCCCCAGATGGGCTAAGAGTCAACATTTACCCACGGACATTTTTGAGATGGTAAACAATATTGATGTGAATAATATTCCCACAGATTCCGATAAAGGGAACATACTAGGAGTTGACTTAGAAATATTCAATAGAGTTACACAAAAACCAAGTTATCCGCTAGCTCCCGAATGATTAATTTTTAATAGAGATTGGATATCAACATAACTTGATGGGAAAGACTAGGTAAGCTAATGTAGAAAAAACCCGTACCAAATTCTAGGATAAGACAAAATATATAATCCACAATAGAAATCTTCAGTTATATCTATCGTTAGGCATGAAACTAAAGAAAATACACAGAGTTCTTAAGTTTGATCAAAGCCCTTGGATGGAGCCATATATAAGGCTGAACACAGATTTAAGAAAGATGACTTCTAGTGATTTCGAAAAGAACATATATAAGCTCATGGATAACTCAGTATTTGGTAAAACTATGGATAATTTAAGGAAGCAAGTTGATGTTAAATTGGTCAGATCTAATGAGGAAGAAACTTACAGCTAGTCCAGCTTTTAACAGAACTAAGATATCTGATAACCACATAGCTGCATTACATATGCGGAAGTGTCACATTAAATTCAACAGACCAGTGTACGTTGGTATGAGTATTCTTGACTTATCAAAACACTCAATGTATGACTTTTATTACAATGAACTTAAGAAGCAATACGGTGATAGATGCGAGGTGTTATATACCGACACAGATTCTTTGAAATACAAACCAAGGATGTGTATAAAGAATTGGAAGAAAAATAGATATGTACGACACGAGCGGTTACCCAAAAGATAATCCATCGCACAGCGCAGTAAATAAAAGAGGTATTAGGTAAGATGAAAAATGAATGTGTTGGAACTCCTATTGCAGAATATGTTGGATTAAGACCTAAGATGTATTCTATAAAGAAGTCTGATAATGAGGAGATGAGAAAAGCTTAAGGCGTCAAGAAGTATGTGCAACAGTATAAAGAAGCATTATTCAATGTCAGAACATTCAAACATGAGATGAATACTTTAAGAAGTGACAATCACAGAATATATGGATTAAGAATGAACAAGACATCATTATCCCCCTTAGATACAAATAGATTGATTGATAAGGTCGGTGTAATACTGTATCGCTGGGAACAATGAGAAACTCTTCTCGTACAAATACTCTAGAAGTATTTGTTCTTTGCCTCTCCATGGTGCTGAAGATTCGGAAGTCACAGATTTCACTTTCACCACATCGGATGGTTTCTTCAATTATTTAGCGCTGATACAACAGCTGATAACCGTGACACCCATACCATTGGTCTTAATCAATCTGATTTCATTTCAATCCCATACTCATATTCAAACAAACGTTCTGCTTATGTCCTATCTTTCAACAATAGCTTGGCTATGGTGGTCCTCTTTTTCACCATGCCTAATTGCAACATCGTGCTTTGTTAATAGTTTAGATTGCTCCGATAAACTCGCGACCAGGATCTACTTGAAACAATTTATGCCATTTTAGTGGTCCGCGTTTATATACTGAATGAAAAGTTGTCATTTAAATATCTGGGGAATTTTTGTCAAAGTTTCTAAAATTTAACATTACCTTGTCCGGAAAAATGAAATTTGATGATAAAAAACCCAAAGCAGATGAAAATAAAACCGATCGCCTAATCGCATCACGGCAACGGCCATGGTAACCCGATGCATGTGAGTTCCGTGCAAATTTCTTGCCTTATAAAAATCCACCCAGATCATTCGTTATTGAATTGCTACCACATGCCAAAAATCAGTGACACCAAGCCCTTGGACGATTGCAAGCTGGACAAACCGCCTGGCCAGTAACCAATGAATTTCAAGTCCATGTAAGGACCATATACAGGCTCTAGCAACGGTACTAGACTACCAACACTATAGATGACCGACCACGTAGTGGAAGACGTTAGGATCGTCAGATTGTGCGACAGCATCTTCAAGATCGCCTTGTTACTGCTGGGAAACTGCTTAACAAATCATTGGGACACACCAGCAACACATTAGTGCAGACACCATGCGTCGACGATTGACGAGCAGACACCTCCACTGTCAGAGGCCACACCGAGGACCCATTCTGACACCACGTCATCACTGGGACCGTCTTCAGTGGGCAACACAGCACCAGCATTGGCGCCACCAGCCATGGAGAAGAGTCCTCTTCTCAGACGAGAGCCGTTACTGTATCTCAACAGCAGATGGCAGAGAGAGAGAGAGAGAGAGAGAGAGAGAGAGAGAGAGAGAGAGAGAGAGAGAGAGAGAGAGAGAGAGAGAGAGAGAGAGAGAGAGAGAGAGTCTGGCGACGATTATTCGGATGCTTGTGTTGTTGAGAGAGACTCTTGGGGTGGTCTGAGCATCATGGTGTGGGTTGAAATTGGTCAGCCCCGTTGTCTTCCAGAACATCGGTCCAGGGAGAGGCAATGGTGTCACAGCAGCTCGGTACAATGATCGAGTCTTGAGACCACACGCCATACCTCATTTGGCACGTCGCCGCAACCACGAGTTTCAGCAGGATAACGCCCGTGCCCACACTGCGAGAGAGAGACTTCCTCCAGCAGAATGGCATCAGAACCATGCAGTGGCCTGCCCTCAGTCCCGATTTAAATCCCATTGAGCACCTGTGGGATGAGATTCAAAGACAGCTGAATGACGTGCGACCAAGGCCAACAACTGCAGCTGAACTGGGTCAGCATTCCTCAGAGTGTTGGCTCAAGTGCCTATGACCTTCATCAATCACCGCATCCATTCAATGTATCGACGTTGCACGGCAGTTATCAATGCACATGGTGGACATACGTGATACTGACTTGTTTTGCCATTTTCTCAGAGACAAGTCTTGTGTTTCACTTTAAGAACATTTGGCACTTTAATTTCAACCTTGATGATCAGTTTTGCCAAGTTTCATCTTTTAAATATGTCTCAAAGTGTGTTTACATTGTTTGGACAAATAAGGTTTCTCATATATCTATCCATGGTGACGTTTCTTTTGAGGTTTAGTATATATGCGGACTAGTGGATTAGCTACTTCTGATGAATCTTTTGAGGTTAATGGTTCAGCCTACTTGTACCAACTAACCACATTCTGTACGGTTAAAGCATATTCATGTTTTGCGACTTACCTCATCATGTGGAAGAAAAAAGAGGTCAGTCTCATGAACTTCATCCGTTGTGAAAATATCAAACTTTTTCCTCCGTATATAATGCAGGGCTGGTAAGTATATTTGCCATATTGCTTGTTTCTTTAACTATGTTACCTTAGCCACTGCAACTAGTTTTTGTTTTGCCCCTATACCTTTCCAATATCCTCGCGGGCTATAGTAAATTTTATCCATTATTAATTAATATTGATCTTTCTTTAATACAATCATGACGATCATTTAATTGCATTGCATAATTTGCATAAAAAATGACCGCTGTAGTAACATTATTGGGGTATGAATCTGGTCTAGGTGGCAGTGAGCCAGAACCCCAATTCCCTATACTACTTGAATTCGGCAGATAAGGTCATGGTTCGTATGGTGTAAGCGCCGAGGTGGGTGTTCGTCAGATTATATAATAGTGTGTATGATGTACTGTAAGCGCCAATTGGGTGTTCAGCGGGTTAGGCAATGGGGTTTTGGAGTTAGCGCCGACATGACTTGTCTATAATGTTTCTAAGCATCATATAAGCGTCAATGCCGTGTTAAAAACTCGTTTCTTCTTTCCACCCATGTTGTTACAGGGTTCTTGTTGGTCACGAGGCGATGTTACGGCAAGTATGGATGTTTCACAAACCACAAGCCTTTCAACAACGCCAAGGGCTTTCTCCCAGAATCACCAGAAGACCAGGGAATTCAGTTCCTCCTCTACACGCGTAGAAATCCCACGCATGCCCAGATCCTGGACGAAGAACGGTTGCTCTCTGTGCAACAGTCTCATTTCAACCGGCACCACAAAACCCGAATGCTCATCCATGGCTTCACCGGAAGTGCCCACGATCAGTGGGTCCGCGACATGACACATGAGTTGCTGCAAAATGTAATTACAGTAAACTACGGTTATAACGAATTTCTTATTTTAGTTCGTTATAACCGTAGTTCGTTATAAGCGTGCTGGTTATAAACGTAGTTTACTGTACATTGCATAAACTACAGTTTTTTGATGATGTGCAAACCTTTGTTTAAACTATTTCCACTACACTTCCGAAGAAATATTATTTGGGTGAAAACTATCCAACAGTCCTCATAACAATAAAAAACCGATGCCTGATCTCGAAATCGAGGAAAATTGAAAGGTTGTTTTTACCGCTTCATTGTCGAATTTAACGCCATATCTTATATATTCCTGTACCGTCGTGAATTATGCTTTTGCCGCCACCTCATGAAGAAATGGTGACCAATAACTGGTCAGGAGGGTTGAAAAACGCCCAAGATACATAACTAACATGTGATGAACTGAGCTTCTCCGGCTAAGTTCATAGATTAGACTCCTAATGAAACACCAGTTCACGTCTTGAACGTCTTGACGATTGGTGTCATCACTGATTTTTAGTGATTCATTAACATTATGATGACCACATTGCCTTATGGACTCGGCAGTTATTCGAAATTGATTATTGTCTGCCTTGAACGTTTTGAATGTTTCATAATGCCAGCACCAAAGCCTTCGTCAAGGCGACCGATTAAAACATGTTGAATATCGCATTGTGGTGGTATGACACGAACGTCATCGTCATGTTGACGCGATTATAACAAGCTGACTGTAGTGTTGTTGTAGGTTGAGAGGAACGTTATGGCAGTGGTCACTGTAACAGCGATCATAACATGTTGATCGTCATGTGTGTGGAGGTTGACGGTAAAGTTACTGCAATCGTCACTGTAACAGCGATTATAACATGTTGATCGTCATGCTGGTGTAGGTTGACAGGAAAGTTATAGCAATCGTCATGGTTACAGCGATCATAACATGTTGATCGTCATGCTGGTGTAGGTTGACAGGAAAGTTATTGCAATCGTCATGGTTACAGCGATCATAACATGTTGATCGTCATGCTGGTGTAGGTTGACAGGAAAGTTATTGCAATCGTCATGGTTACAGCGATCATAACATGTTGATCGTCATGCTGGTGTAGGTTGACAGGAAAGTAATTGCAATCGTCATGGTTACAGCGATCATAACATGTTGATCGTCATGCTGGTGTAGGTTGACAGGAAAGTTATTGCAATCGTCATGGTTACAGCGATCATAACATGTTGATCGTCATGCTGGTGTAGGTTGACAGGAAAGTTATTGCAATCGTCATGGTTACAGCGATCATAACATGTTGATCGTCATGCTGGTGTAGGTTGACAGGAAAGTTATTGCAATCGTCATGGTTACAGCGATCATAACATGTTGATCGTCATGCTGGTGTTGTTTGACAGGAAATTTATTGCAATCGTCACTGTAACAGCCATTATAACATGTTGATCGTCACGCTGTTATAGGGGCACATAAATCACAGTGACAAAATTATAGTAGTATAACATCATCACGAGCATGATGTGCTGACCAGAATTGTGATGTAGAGGGCTGTGAACGTCATTGCCATCGTTATGGTGAAGCTATTATGTCAAATTGACCGTCACGATGTTGCAGGAGGACATGAACGTCATCGCCGTCAACTGGGAGAAAGGAGCAGATAAGATCAATTATTTTCACGTCGCTGCTAACACCAGAGTCGTCGGTGCCGTTACTGCTGAACTGGTCAAGACCCTCCACTCTGTCGGCGCCGCCTACTCCAACTTCCACCTCATCGGTCACAGCCTTGGCTCCCATATCAGCGGCTACGTCGGCGAGATTGTTCACGGACTCGGCAGAATCACTGGTATGAAGTGTTCTCGGTTTCTTTCTTGTTTTAATTTGAGATTTTACTCTCTTGCCACTTGCTGTAGTCTAATGTGAGTAGAAAGAATCAGATAAGAAAAGGTCTATCACTCATTGCACTACTATATATGGATTGGTAAGTATGTTTCAGGCTAAGCCCCTCTCAATCTTTTCCTTGCTTCCTCGGTATCTTTCTATTCTCTCTACCGTCGCCATACATTTGTTAAAGTTATGTTTCTAGTAAAGGTGATATGCATTCAATACTTTTACAGCTACGTAATAATGTGACCATATCATATTTTCTATTGCATTCATCATTGCTGCGTTTATTTATTGTCAGGCATGAATTACCTCAAGTCGTAGATGTGTGTTTCCACTATGTAGAACCTCAAGCCGAAGATGTGTGTTTCTACTATGTAGTACCTCAAGTCGTAGATGTGTGTTTCTACTATGTAGTACCTCAAGTCGTAGATGTGTGTTTCTACTATGTAGTACCTCAAGCCGTAGATGTGTGTTTCTACTATGTAGTACCTCAAGTCGTAGATGTGTGTTTCTACTATGTAGTACCTCAAGTCGTAGATGTTTGTTTCTACTGTGTAGTACCTTAAGTCGTAGATGTGTGTTTCTACTATGCAGTACCTCAAGTCGTAGATGTGTGTTTCCACTATGTAGAACCTCAAGCCGAAGATGTGTGTTTCTACTATGTAGTACCTCAAGTCGTAGATGTGTGTTTCTACTATGTAGTACCTCAAGTCGTAGATGTGTGTTTCTACTATGTAGTACCTCAAGCCGTAGATGTGTGTTTCTACTATGTAGTACCTCAAGTCGTAGATGTGTGTTTCCACTATGTAGTACCTCAAGTCGTAGATGTTTGTTTCTACTGTGTAGTACCTTAAGTCGTAGATGTGTGTTTCTACTATGCAGTACCTCAAGTCGTAGATGTGTGTTTCTACTATGCAGTACCTCAAGCCGTAGATGTGTGTTTCTACTATGTAGTACCTCAAGCCGTAGATGTGTGTTTCTACTATGTAGTACCTCAAGTCGTAGATGTGTGTTTCTACTATGTAGTACCGCAAGCTTTCCTTCCCAGGCCTCGATCCAGCAGGTCCTTTGTTTGAGAACTTTGATCCTGTTGTCCGTCTTGACCCAACTGATGCCAACTTCGTGGACGTCATCCACACCGACGCCGAGTCACTGCTGCAGCTAGGTACATGTTGACTATCATCAGTGTAGAATTTACCAAATGGTATGTCTGATACCCTGAATAGTGTATCTAGATTCCTGTCATGTACTTATTGAGTTTATCATCCTACATTCTCACTTATGAAATCTGAAGCAGACTTTAACATTAATCTTCAATTCTAACCTACATGACGTTGATAAATCTTAATTATTTAATGCATTACGGCATAACTGTCTCAATTATGCAAGTCGTATTATTTCTTGGTTGAACAGTTAAATCGTGTTAGGTTTCTTTGGGTTATTGTTGAGGTTGAAACAGCACGCGTGAGCTCAGTTGTCTGTCTGTCGCAGGTCTTGGAATGATGAAGGCAATCGGTGACGCCGACTACTACCCTAACGGCGGAGTAGACCAGCCTGGGTGCCCACGACATCATGGCCACCATTTCATCAATCTCATCACTGGCAGTTTTCCGAGTAATAATACACATTTACTCTCAAAGAAAACCCCTGAGTAGATGAATTTTCACACATTTAAAGTAGAATGACCCATCAAATGCGACATCATTTGCAGTTAAATCTCACAATAAGAAAGTCGGAATCGCAGTAACCAGAAATAAAAGTCAGTGATTACGTCAGTTCGCAAGTGGGCGTACCACTTTATGAATCTGAAATTGCTCTGCACCTTTTTGGGATGGAGGAAGCCTTTGGTTCCGAGACGTGGAATCCAAGCCCACTCGTCCTGCAATGTGTGTGACGTTGCTCTGAGGTGGCGGTTGACGTTGACGTACCTGTCTATTGAGTTCACTACACATGTTCTTTTGGGTTTAAGATATGGCATTTTCGAAGGCAATGGGAGAACTGTAATATCTCATTCTGTAGACAGTCAACAATAACACATAAAGTATGTGGCCTGGCATTATCTGGAACAATTCGACCTGGCTATCAATAATCGGAACATTTGAGGATGTAAGATTTCAACCCTGTAGGTGTAACTGTGGAATTCCCCCGTAAGTGCATAAGGTTTGATCTCTTTGTGTCGGAGTGAGTGAGTGAGTATGGTTTTACGCCGCTTTTAGCAATATTCCAGCAATATCACGGCGGGGGACACCAGAAATGGGCTTCACACATTGTACCCATGTCGGGAATCGAACCCGGGTCTCCGGCGTGACGAACGGACGCTTTAACCACTAGGCTACCCGACCGCCCGGCAATGTTTGAGTCTGACGTGTTTAACCCATGGAGAGCACACCGTCGTTGATCGCACCGTACTTTCAGGATGAAACGCATAGAAAGAGTTTTTACGGTGCGGTCAGCAATATGTTATGAATATCACAGTGGGCTGACCGATATATAGCAACAGATCAACGAAGAAAAGCCACACAGCTACACCACTCCAAACAATGTAATCATTGTCAATATTTGAATCCTGGTATTAAAATATCTGTGGTGAATGGATGGTCTTTGATGACAGTTCATATTCCTGATACAGGACATTCACCAACAAATTATTTAAATCAAATCTCATTGTTTATTTCAGAGTTGACTGACGGCGCCGCCTGCAGCCACAACCGCGCAGTCTCCTTCTTCATCTCCTCCATCAACAACCGCTGCCAGTACACCTCCCACCCATGTGTCAATCAGAACACATACGACAGAGGTCACTGCAACACGTGTGCCCCACACGGCTGCCAACACATGGGGTATCACGCCTCCCCGGCGCACCATGGCCGCTTCTACCTCAAAACATCAGCACAGGCTCCGCACTATTGCTGTGAGTTTTATCACTGTTTGTGAGTGAGTGAGTTGTTCAGTGAGTGAGTGAGTGAGTGAGTGAGATTTGGCTTCAGGGTGGAGTGAGTGAGTGATGCGAAAATTACTAAAATACTGAATAAAATGTGATGTTGAAGAAGCAAATACCTGAGACAGAAAAAGGAGACCATTTCATTATCCTAATTAGCTAATTCGTTGTAGATATAAATCAGTACAGGAAACGATATCATCGACAAACCTGTATGCATCACAGTGAAAACAGAAATGACTCTTGGGATTATTCTGAGTGGGCATACATCTTAATCAAACAATGTCTAAATCTATACAGCTCTTACCATGTTAAAACCTATCTATTGACTGTAGTTATTAAACAGAACGACGAATGACATCACCGACAAAACTGTATGCAATAAAGTGAAAAAAAGAAATATGGACCCACATGTTCTTATCTCTTCAAAGAGATGTGTCTGGGTGGGCCACGCTTTTGAAAACTGAGTAAATCTACTTGTCATTCCCCTCACAAACAACGAATGAAAGATCTTCACAGTAAGTAAGCAATAACATATTCTGCAAATGAAACTAACAAATTTTATTCATTCAAAACAAAGCCAAAAGACTCATCATATTATTATCTCCAACAGTTGTATGGTCTGGAGCTACGACCTATACATGTGACATCAGTGGCAATATAACAATGACATTTAGTTCATTGAGTATGTCTAGTTTTGTTATGAATCAACAACGTGCCGCAATATCATCAGTGATCACAATACCAGGTTTTTTATGGGAAATTTGTTTCATTTTATTTTTACAAATAAGGAACTCACACGTGAAGCATCATCTTTACATATTGACAGTTAACGTCCACACATATCTTAAATATATAGAAACAGTAACAAATTAAATAATGCCATCATTACAAACAAAACACCTAGTATGGGTATGTTATCGGGAACTGTAGTGTAATGAATATTTCACACTGAATCCGTGAAACACAATTTAGGCAATTTCAATTATCTGCACAGATGATGAAGTTTTTGTAACACTATCACGGGTAGTGTTGTCAAACTGTTGATAGGAACTATATGATTCATGTATATGCCCACCATGATATTTGTGAAATGTCAATTACATCATAAACATTTTATAGAGTAACAGTGTCACAATAACTGATGCTATTTTCATAATAATCTGAGATCGAAACATTTCTATTTTTTTTTTTAAAATGCATGAGGCACAATGGGAAAATTGATAACATAGATAGTCAATAGATAACGTTCTCATCAAGACATCAGAAATGATCAAATTAGGTTGATGTTCGCACACATGTGTACTATTTGGTAAGAAGGCAAAGAATGAGATTAATATACACGCATCTGTTTTGTTCCATCGGATGGTAATCCCATCAAGATGAGCAACTAGCTGTTCTTTTGGGGTACCATGCATTAACCTAAACTTTGCCATAGCATTGCCCCTCAAATCCCTCAGTGGAATTTGTATCAGCCCCAGTTTCGGGGTTCACATTACCATCCGTGTGTCATGTTCATACTCTGCTTTTTGTAGACCAATATATGATTTAAATTAATCCGTAATTTTTGTGTACTTCAACATGGGCATGAGTGTTGGCTAGGGAATGTCTGTTCTTTTGACATGAATATTAATAAGTAGAACCATTTTACGTTGTCTATCAATAAGACCAACGATCCAGAAGTTTGTTATACTCTGACTGGAATCCATTCTGTAATTTCTCTTCCTTCTTCCGTTTACTTTCATCCATTACCACCTCATTACCAACACCCCGAAGAATAACAGGAACCTCCAGAAGGGATCTTGATATTAAGTCACGGTATAAATTATACCAGTTATAAACAGTGTTCTCACACACGCACAATATTTTTACAGTGATGTGACCTGGAATGTCATGGCAAGCAAAGATACAAAATCATTAACAGTGTGACAAGTAAGGTTTTCTTGCCTTCCAGGAAACTTCCAAATCTCACACGTTTACAGGTTCTACATTTTGTGCAATGCCACACATAACCATCTAAGGCATGGACATATTACATTTATGAACTCCATTGTTGAGGCTATCAGATTGTTTTCTGTCATAAAATCAAAGGTCTTTTCCAAGTCATTACATAATGCACCAATCTGAATTAAATGATGTTTCAACATATAGAATGTCCAGAGACATACTTGAATGGCTTCAAGGCTAACCAACAACTGTATGGCTTAAAGTAACAACAGTGCACAAAGGTGACTCTACCCACCAGAACAATCTTCCAACTAAGGTTAATCAATCAAACCTTCTCACAAGTAGAATATTGAATCCTCCATGGGAAATACTTGCCAACTGGAACATCGTGTAGCTGTTCCCAAAAGATACGTTGGACTGAGTCATCAAGAAATGGTACATCTTCTGAAGAATTTGAAGCAATGCTGTTCACAAAATTAGTGTGGGTAAATATGACAATCTCGGTTTTGTAAGATTTGTTCTTTCTTTACCACCAAACTACAGTAAACTACGGTTAAAACGAACACGCTTATAACGAACTGACGGATATAACGAACTTACTTTTTGGTCCCGACTATTTGCTGTAGTTATGCTGTATATATGCTTATAACGAACTACGGTTATTAGTCCCTTTGAGTTCGTTATAACCGTAGTTTACTGTAGCAACTATTTAATTCTTACCTCTTTGGTAGGCAAATCCTCGGCCACACACCTTAGTTCACTTAAATGAACTGACACAAACATTATTACTTTTATCATGAATAGCAGACACAAATACTAGCACCAAGTTCCTCATACTTTTCACGAAATCCACACAAGTAGTTGGTTAAAAGAGTCCGGATAGTTAATTCAGTTGTATTCTTAGGTGGATACCGAAATGTCAGATGAATATAGAATTTCAAAGTAAGAATGTTCATAGAAAACACTGCATTCAGAGTATTTCTTTTATAGGTCCTTTTGTTGAAGGTTTTCTGTCGTGGTTAGGGTTAGGGCTAGGGTTAATGTTAGGGTTAGGGTTAACACAAGACATCTAAATCAAGTACAGGATATAGTGGTTTTAACTATATAGGGTATATAAGTGTTTGTTTACCTCTTCCTGAAATCCTCAAAAGGGACAAAGCTTTCTTCAGATATAAATCCACAGAAATTGCAGAATCTGTCCTTATTTTTGATGATGAATATTAATATTAATGAGCCCATGGCCTTGTTTTGCGGGACAAGTTTGCGTGTCGTTTGCGTGTCGTTTGCTTGTGTTTTACTTTATTGGTGCTTTTAGTCAAAAAGTGACCCTTAGATTGAGTAAAGAAGTAATTATTTTTGCAAGTATCTTTGATTTCATGTCGACCAAGTTCGAATGTGTGCCCACTTTCGCCCGTATGATTAGTGAGATGGAGACAGCTCCCTTGAAAAAACTGACAAAAAGATTCGCCGTGAGTGAGTGAGTGAGTGAGTGTTGTGTTACGCAACAGTCAACAATATTCAATTATATTCCATTCATAACACCGTAGACCCGTGAAGATCCGGGGTAGAAAATTTTCAGCAAACCAAGGTTGCGGAAAAGGGTTATACTTGTCGTAAGAGGCGACTAGCGGGATTGGGTGGTCAGGCTCGCTGACTTGGTTGACATGTCATTGTATCCCCATTGCGTGGATCGATGCTCATGACATTAATCACTGGTTTGTCTGGTCCAGACTCGATTATTTAAATATAGCTGGAATAATAGTGAGTGCGGCGTTTAACAACAAACAAATAAACAAATCATAACGCCGTACCCCGTGAGTAATTGGATCTCGATCAGGCAAAGAAATGAATGAAAGCACAAACAGGAAGTTACGTCATTGGGATACGATGACACGTCCGGCATTACTCTAAAGTAATTGAATGTTTTAAAGTGGTGCAGTAGACCGTGAACACACTTTGGCTGCTGTAATGTAAGTATTTTTATGCATTACCATGTGTATGTGGATAAGTTTTGTGATGCCAGTTGGACTGTCAGAAACGTTTGACGAAATCAAACTTCTGTGTTCATATTTAAAACAGACAATACGACTTTAACATCGGAATATATGTTCTTATGCAATAACATTCGAATTATTGTTTACAGTGGAACATCGTTTGATTGTGAATGTGATATTTCCTGACTTTGGAAAGTAAAATATATTTTTACATATATTATACATCTTATCAGTACTTGAGTTAATGTCCAACGATATGCACTTGTCACCATGTTCAAATGCTTAACTTTGAAAACTTTGGTAAGGCCTTGAATGCTATAACCCTGATCAAAGAACTTTTGAGAAGAAGTCGTATGACGTTCTTTGAAATCCTCGTAGTAAGGTCGTGATAGATTCTAACTTTAAAAAATTGAGAAAAGAAGACATCTAAAGCTGTAGCTGTTTGAACACTACTCGACATGAAGATGAGTATTGGAAAGTTGAAAACACACCTCTTATGTAGAGTCTTTATGCACTGGGCTTTGAGTGTATTTTGCCAGTCCAAGCAGAAATTCTTTCTCGTGTGCAGAAAGAAACAGATCCACAAGAAGGGGAGCACAATTAGTGTCCATGGGGAACCTACTTCTTGCAAATGTCTTATCCACAAATTGAGGTCGTCAATCACTCAAGCATTTCACATATTGTTTTCTCCTAACATTTTATACTCTTGAAGATCCGGGTTATGAGTTGTCTTCAACAATCCATGCTTGTGGGAAAGAGGCGACTAACAGGATTGGGCGGTCAGACTTGCTCTCGTTGATGCATGTATCGCATCCCATTTGAATATATCAATGCTTATGATGTCATTCTCATGATTGTCTGATCCAGTCACGGTTATTTACAGAACGCCGTCATAGCTGGAATATTGCCGAGTTAAACAACATACAGAAAGTAGTAAACTTCAAATGAGATTTGCTTTAGATTTTGACAAATTGACCTCAACCTTTGAAGATGAGGATGTAACCACATCTATGGTCATCACGTTCAGTGAAACATTCCCTGTGGATACAGGAATGCTGTTTCTCCTTGAGACATTTGATCGGTTTGGTATATGAACAGTAGAATTCAAAACGTCAAAGCCAATGGATGGGGTTTACTCAAATATACTTTTGCAATTTTATTCATAAACGTCCCTTTTCGCTTTTCTTGCCGGGAACTAAAAGGGAATTAGGCGTGAACGTCTAAATACATCATGATATCGTCATCTTTCCCTTTACACAGGAGCACCAGGCGTGTAGGTCTATATGGATCATGATATCCCCATCTTTCTCGTTATAGGAGCACCAGGCGTGTAGGTCTATATGGATAATACTATCCCCATCTTTCTGGTTACAGGAGCACCAGGCGTGTACGTCACTGTACTAGATGAAGTCGGCATCAAGCAGTACAATTACAAGTGCAGAAAATAAAAATGTACACATGTTTGAAACGAGTAGCTTTTCCGTCATTCTTTTCAATATCAGATACATTCAGCGCACAACAATCAGACATCAGGTAATATTGGATAATTAGAAATGTGCGAGTCTTGCGTAAACAAATAAGGTGAATCGACAGATCTCAGCAGTATAATGTAAAGAGGTGATCTCCAAATAGAATTAGTTCGTTGAAAATAATATTCTAAAATCGGTAAATGACCACACAAGATCAATGAACCATCAATAATACAGATGAAATGCCAAAACGTCAACGCCCCACAACAACCAGTCTCCAACAAAAGGGGCAATACAGTGGGAGATATGTGGCAGCAGCAATAATTACAAGAGTGCCTTATCACGAAAGCCTCTTAGCTACCGCCTCCTTGTCTCCACGACCTAGTGTAGGACGTGGTAAGCTGGTTACAAGTGCCCCTTACCTATCGTATGGGGTGTAAAGTTAGAAGGTCTTTTTTCACAACTATTTAAGTGGTGGTTTACGACGTGGTCTATCAGGTCGTAGCTGAGCGACTTTCGTGAAATGGGGGCCAGGCCCTTGACCTTAAGTTAGTGCACACGTGAATGTGCGGAATATGTCAGAAACGTAACTTCTCGAATGAGCAAGGCTGCCATGTCCGTATCCACAGCAAGCGCAGATAAATCTAAGAACAAATAAATCAAGCATTCAACCGCCATTTAATAAATGCACATGTGTGCACAGTCTGACCTTTCAGCAGCAATAAATACAAAAAGTTGACCTGCTTAGCCAGTTCCTTTTCCGAGTTCAGTAAGCAGAACATATTACCCCCAGTCCCGCACTTGCTTGAAAATGTCTGTGGTCACATTCAGCATCAGTTATCATGTTAAAAATAACAGCACTAAATACAGACAAACATCGACAGTTTTAATTCCTGCATTGATGTACATTAAAAAAGCGGAGAGAGCTGTAAGAGTTAAATGATATATATGTCACCAATGTTTTACAAAATGTATTTCATAACGAAGTTTCTACAATCATACACAGACCATGGCTGTTTATTCATGATTCATAAAAGAAGGGGGTCATTGGTCAATTTTATACATGGTTGAGGCTGCCTATGTCATATCACCCTAAAAACTATAAAAAAATAACAACAAATCTTTAAACCTCAAAACCAATAACAATACATGTTTTAAATTCATTAATGGTCGGTTGTTTGCCGCCCTGGTCTGATATCATCAGATCATAGCCGAGTCTTCAACATTCATGGAGTATGGTTTTGACACTCATGACATGATGTGATTGAGATTGTTCGAGATTCCTGGAATTTACATTCCTGAATTGTTTCTACTATCAAACTCCCTGATGACTGTCCACATTTGGTAAATCATCTATGGGAGGGCAAACACAAATGTTTGTGCTTTCCTTTACCCCCAAAATCAAAAGTTTAAGCACCTATGATATAAGCTGGTGACATAAGTACACATGGAAGGAAATCAGAAACATTATTCAGGTTGGACAGAAGGCATGGAATTCAGGCCAAAAATTGGCCATGGACACATAAAGCAGCTTTAAAGTTTTCATACATATTAGGCTAGGTAATGAACTTTTCCAGAAAGTATGAAGTAAAGGGGTGGATTACGGCCAGCAATCTCAAACACTGACCAGTGAACCATACCTATCTATCACAGCCGAGGAACGGAAGTGACCCCTCAAGTATAGAAGAAATCGCTTTGAAACCACAACATTAAAGAAAATAACACTTAAGTTAAATGATTCATTTAGTTAAGACTTTGAAATACTCCCTGGAAATCTATATATAATACTTTCTGTTGAATGTTTGTAGGATGCCAATTTCAATTATTCGCCAGTTTGAAGGAGACAAAGTAAAAAAGTCATATAATTTAGGACATTTGTAGGTTATCCCGACACAGAAGTTGTTATTTCTATTCACAATTGACAGTGTTTGGCAATACCAGCTTATTAGAGTATTTCTCTTCAATAATGTATGGGTTTATAGGGGATGGAACGATACAAGGCGTTTTACTGAACAGGGGAGATAATTTAGTGAATTAGGGTGTGAGTGAGTTGGGATTAACACCGCTTCTAACAGTATTCCAGTTATATCACGGCGTGTCAGCTTAATGTGGGTGGAAAGACCGAAGTGATGCAGGTCTCAGACGTTTCCCACTTCGGTGAAACCCACGAGCACGGGTATGGTGCTGACAAACCTAGAAACATAATCGGACCGAAACGGGATTCGAACCCACAATCATAAGTTTCTGGCGTGCCCAAGGGACGCAACTCTGCACAGAGAATCGCGGCGCCTTAGACAACTGGGCCACCCGTGCCCCCTAGTGAACTAGATGAATGTCACATTTTTTATAGGTAAATTTTAAACCACAATGTTACATTCCACAAGATCCAGTTGGTATTATTTTCATCTCTGCAGGTTCTGGTGAAAACAATTGAGGCAAAACAAGGGATGTCGATCATATTTTGCCAACACCGAACTTCAGCTCGGCTTGTCAAAATACCACTTTGGATGTGAAAGCTTCTGTTTCTTCTGCATGAGTGCACACATACCTCCCCAATCAGCATCAGGCATGCTAAAAGCTGAAGACAGTGTTGTGACAATATTAAATGTCAAATCATTTTGGACATAACTTCCAGGAGACAGGTGTTGAGGGAAATAAATAATTATTCGAAAATCATATAAGTTAAAAAAAGGTTTTTAGAAATATAAAAGATAAATTGGATCATCAACACACAAAAGAGGCCCCAAACGGAAAGAAACGATAGAATGCTACATTGCCAGCATTAAATAGGAGGGTTCGTGACATTTTCTGTATACACGCTTCATACTAATGACACGGGTATAACATGACTTGACCGGCAGGTGATTAAGACAGATACACAATTTGTTGTGGCAGTGGTGACGTTATCCTAATTAGTTGTCAAATTCGTCAGTTTCAACAATTGAGTGAGTGAGTTGGGTTTAACACCGCTTTTAACAGTTTTCCAGTTATATCAGCTTAATGTGGAAGGAAAGCCCGAAGTGATGCAGGTCTCAGACGTTTACCACTTTGTGAAACCCATGGGCACGGGTATGGTGCTGACAAACCTAGAAACATAATCGGGGCGAACCAGGCGTTTACCACTTCGGTGAAATCCACGAGCACGGGTATGGTGCTGACAAACCTAGAAACATAATCGGGGCGAACTGGGATTCGAACCCACAATCATAGGTTTCTGGCGTGCCCAAGGGACGCAACTCTGCACAGCGAATTGCGGCGCCCAGTTTCAACAAATTCAGAAGGAAGGGGGCCGTGAATTGATGTTTAGAGTCAACCTTGAGGGCGCTCTCCTCGGTTCCATCACTATTCGCCTACAGTACCGACTGCCTTCAGTCAAGTGCACTTAGTGCACTTTGCCTATACTATGAAAAATATGGCATATTGAATCACCATGACAACGTCGGACCTCGCACTAACAACCACCTGTGGGGATGGCATGCTCACCTTAACAGCACTGTCCAAAGTGGGCATCCCAACATCTTTGCCTTGACCATGTCCCCGCAACGACAGGAGAAAGCAGAACGAAACAAGCTGGCTCAGTACCTCCATGGCGCCCGACCCCCACCACGACAGAGGATGTACCGTGAACTGGAGCAACGTATCGTTTAGTGAGCCCGCTCCAGTTCCTAGATCCTGCCGGGCGACTGATGACTGTGTCATGACTTTACACAGACATTGCTGTAAAACGTGACCGCCTCAGTGGTCTAGTGGTAGAGCGCCCGCCCGGAGAGCGAAAGGTCCGGGGTTCGATCCCCGGCCGCGTCATACAAAAAGACGTTAAAATATGGTACTTGTTGCTACCCTGTCTGGGGCTAAAACAAGGACTGGTCGGCTCGGAGTCAGTAAACTGTGTCTGAGTGGGTTATTTATGTTAAACTGCGGCATGGTATCTCAGTGTGCTAGCACTATAAATCGGCATTAGTCCGGACTAGTACAAGCAGCCACACAAACACACACACGCACATGCACGTCGCTATATAAGTGCAATAATCTTGGACGCGACGTTAAACCCCATTTCACCTCACCTCACCTGTAAAACGTAATAGAACGTGCGCATAATCTTGAAGTTCCCACAGTTTGATGACGCCAACCCCATCAAATGGCGACAAATTACACATAACACAGGGATTAGTGATGTAGCATGGTACAAACTGATAAAGAGTACTGAATGTGTTCAAAGATCGATGTTGGGTGGAAAAGTAAGGAATAGTCAGTTAGTCAGACACAAATTTGATTTTTTGTTAACATACACTAAGTGCACCCTTTTGAACGTCTGAATAAGATAATTATACAAGGAATTCTAAACGCACACACACACATTTCTTTTGATGCACACACCACCAACAACACAGAACAACCCTGAAATCCACAATAAACTGTAACAACCAAATGTCTCTGGCAACACTTCTCAACCCACTACACGACCTACAAAACTTAAAGCAGTAGGCATTTTCCTAAATAAAACAGGCCTACTAGGCCGCATCTAATAAACTACAAAATAATGCTATCACCAATCTAAAACCCTAAAAAAACACCATAAAAAACAACAACAAAAACAAAATAACGCACAACCACACAAATTCCCTTAGTTCCCCCACGGCATTCTTCAAACTTATAAATTCCCCTAAAATTAATTAAGGAAGCCTTAAGTCCCCCAGGTTGCCCTTTCTTTTCGGACATACCCTCCTCGGCCAAACCACAAATTAGCCTGACTCCCACTAGAAACATGCCGGGACCGCCTCCGTGGTCTAGTGGTAGAGCGTCCGCCCGGAGAGCGAAAGGTCCGGGGTTCGATCCCCGACCGCGTCATACCTAAAGACGTTAAAAGATGGTACTTGTTCTTACCCTGTCTGGCGCTCGGCATTTAGGGGCTAAAACAAGGACTGGTCGGCTCGGAGTCAGTATACTGTGTCTGAGTGGGGTATTCATGTTAAACTGCGGCATGGTATCTCAGTGGGCTAGC